AACTACTTGGAGTATAGTGAAATTAAAAAGAGTGTGAAATCTAGGACTAGGATAGAAGTATAATAAGGTTGATGATCAGTTTGTGAAGGAAGGAGTGGAATGACGAATGAGTAGGGAACATGTTGGTTTGGAAAATGTCTGGCTCTCTCAGGAAACCACAAATAATACTAATTCACATGCAAACACCACTTTATGATGATTACTCCTAATTACTACTATTAGCGCATTTTCATGAATAATTTGGTTGGCAAACTTTTAGGATCTACCTTGAGCAGCCATTTATTCTGGATTTTCCCAATCAATGGGGTTTCATTTCATTGTCTCTCTTGGAAGATAATAAATAAATTCAGGCCAATTTTCGAATTGTATTTATTTATATTGTTATTATTGTTGAAAATGTTCACAAAATGGCTAAGGCCTCTGTCGCCTCGGCGTAAACTTGTAAACATTTTCTTAAGCTTAATATATGAAGTAATTTTTTTTTCAAAAAAAAAATATGGGAAATGCAAAACCTAAATTTCCCTAATTAGTCTATTATATTTGATTTAGCATTAATAACTACGAGCAATCGCTATAACGGCATTAGTTGACTATGATATGATCTCTGGTGATAAGAAATGAGTAATGGTCACGGAATAATCTTTTTTTTTTTTATGTACTATATCAAGTTTTTCATCTTTTTAGTCCATGAAATTAAAGTAGAGTGACTAATTTAGTCAACAAAATTGAATTTTACAGCTTTTACATTTCCTACTTATCAATAGGTTTGATGATTTTTTATTAAAAAAAAAAAAGAAAAACAAATTGAATGTAGTGACTACGAGAAAATAAATATGATGTATACATACATACTAAATTTACTTTTTGGACCAATACGACCAAATTCGCATCATAAATCATGACTATTATTAGCCTACAAAATTAATAGCAATAGTTGAGAAAGTTGTAGAATCCTTGTTGTTTAATAATGTTACATATTCCATCGTCGTATGTGATCAATCCACAATTAATCATTTGTATTACATATCTCAAAAAGAAATAATTATTGACCAAACTTATACCACGTCATTCTGTTTACACCTTTTCCCTGGCGCACGTCACTGTGTGATGATGTGGAAGTGGAAAGGGAAAGGAAATAACTGCTGAAAGTCGACACCTGGAAGCAGGCTTCATGATTAGATGACGTGGCGAAAGCAACAAAAACTATAAATATAAATAAATAATTTTAGTGTAGATAAGAAAAACAAAAGTTCTTTGATTTTTGTGATTAATGAAAATTTCTGAAAAACACAAAAGTTCTTTCCAAATTCTTTTAACTTAAATTCTTTGTTAATGTTCGGTAATCCATAATTATTGATTTGCATGATCTATTAGACTATTAACAGTGTATTTAGTTAATTTACAACTATTTTGAGAAAAGAAAAAAAAGAACACATGTTTTTAATCCTCTCTTTGATGCTAGTACTTGATTGTGGAATATTTTTTATTTCCTCCTGAGCCGCTTATCACAACGTTGTTTACTTTGTATTTGCAACATCTCAACAATAATTGATACTACTCCCTTCGTCCCATAAAAATAGTTCATATTAAGTTTGAAGTTTTGTACTGTCTTTAATACAAATTTAAAAACGCAATATGGACTATTTTTGTATGACGAATGTACTAAAATAAAATAAACTCATTGAAAAATAAATAACTCAAATTACAGAAAAAGGATTGGCCCTTTCCCTTTGCGTGGGCTGGAGAAAAATTGAAAAAACAAAAAAGGAGGGTTGTGGGAAGACTTTAAAGCTAACCTATCTGGCCATCTTCTTCTTCGTGCCCCATAGTATTCTTTGCTTCAAAATTCATGTGCTTCCATTTAATCAAATGTGGGTGAAATGTAAAGCAAAAGGACCCCCCAAAAAAGGCACCAAAACCCCAGCAGCATATGATTCTTGTGCCTTACGAGACGACTTCCCACTTTCTTTCCATTTATTCCCCCGCCTTTTATTATTTTTTAAAATATATTTATTGCAATTTAGAGTGTTACTATTATTTGCAAACTAACACCCTTCAAGATAATATTAGTGTCACTTAAGAGTTTTAGTGTTAGTCTCTTTTTCTTGTCACGTTTTGAATGTCATTAGATGTAATTATGCTAACCACCATGCTAAAACGTTACAAACTCTGGCAAGATCGAATATTTAGATAGTTAAGATGTTAACAGTTTAAATATAGAACATTGAAATTTAGATTAAAGAAATGATTGAATGTTAATTTATGAAGGGTTTATTGTGTTGAGAGGATTTAAATCTATATATAATACATTTCAGTTCAATATATATTTTTAAAATATAAGTGCACAATAAAAAAAAAGTTGAAAATATTCCTTAATTATTTTAGGACAAAAAAGGTAATTAAGAAAACTTGAGGGTTGTTCACAAACTAAACTCGAAACTTGAATCTGTGCCAACTTTTAAATCTTGGTTTTACTATCCTTTTCTTCTTCTTTTTCTTTCCGTTATCATAATCTAACTTATCCAAACATTAAACTAATGTTAATCTTTAGTCTTTAGATCCAATTGCGGGTTGCAATGTTTTGAATTCTGGTAGAGACAACATTGGGATTCCATTACACAAGCTGCTCCTGCTTTCAAAAACTACAAAGTATATTACTATTAAATTATCAGTAAGAACACAGTTTTTCCGTCTCGAAATAATTGTTCAATTTAGATTTTTTACTTTCAATACAAATATTTTTAAAATAAAAGAAAATTAAACAATCACTCAAGAACAAAGAAAATACATATTTTCAATCACAAAATAATACTAATAATATACATTTGGTACCACGGACTTTGGAGATTGTTTTTTGGTGATGAAATAGAGCAGGCTTCAACCCGTGCAACATGATAAGCTTTATAAGTAGTAAACCTGCAAAACAGTAAAAAGGTGTGGGTACTTCTACATACGTACTATAAAATTATATGAGAACATCACAAAAAGGCAAGAAGTCTCTTCCAAAAAAAATCACACAGAAGGACAACAGAGTTTGCATGAGTATCATTAACTACTTTCTATTATTATACACTTTATCTTCATCACCCGCGATTTATTTCCTCTTTTTTTTTTTTTTTTTACTTCAATTAATGGCTTGATATAGTATCCGATGAGGCGAGGACCGATGGTGGACTCTACAAAATCAATGGTAATGTAGTACTAGTATTTGATTTTGACCTATAAATATCTAGGCATTTTTGGTACTAAAGACTATCGCAATTAGATCATACACATTTATTGCAATGTTACATAAGTGGATTAGTATTTTTATCAATGTGAAAATCAAAAGTAAAGTTGCTAATATATAACAGAAGATTTCGGAATCACTTCATGTCTTTCTCCTTTTTTGAAATTGTTCATATTATGTTACGCCGTAAAGTCAATAAGAAGAAATTATCAACGAAGGTATAATCCAATTTAACACAACTTGAGCGTGCTATAAAATTCAAACCCTTTAAATTTTATTTTTACCCATTTTTGAAAAAGGTGTATTTATTTATATGGTGTATCTGTAAGTCCACACAGTGAGCTGTGAGTAGGTGTATATCACTATTTCATCATCTAATCTTAGGGCAAGTATATATATGTATAGACCTACAAATGTTGTTGTTGGGGGTACTTGTGTGGGAAGGAGGGTGGTGTGGTGTGTGTGATTGATAGGGTGGATTGTGTGGAAAGTAGAAGGGTGCCAGGCTGGCGCCCCCCAAATTAGCCCATTATTATTATTAGTACTCGACCATTTCAAAATCAAGTCTTTTTAGAACTTACACATAAATTAAGAAAACAATTATCCAACAATTAATTTACATATTAAATATCTGTTTTACCCTTTATTAAATATATTGGAACTATAAAAAAGATTAAATAAAAATAATTAGCATAATTTAATAATGGTAAAGTTGAAAAAATATTCATTAATTTGTTTAAAATTTGTAAAACGATCTATATTTTGAAGAATCTTTCTAAACCTAAAACGACCTACAAATTGAAATGGAGGGAGTATATTATATTATTAGATTGCAAAAATGAAGAGGGAAAAACAAAACCCGAAAAAAAATGAAAAAAAAAAACACCCAAAGAGGCTGGCAAATGGAGAATGGAGAAAAATCGAAGAGGTCAAAGGTTAGGCCCCTGCTTAGCTGGCACCCTCTCTTTTGTTGCCTTGGGCTCTGAAATATAGCACACTCCCTGAACCTACGTTTTCATACATCTACTCTCTATTTTCCACCCTTCCCTTTGACTAAATAGTAAATGGAATATCAATTAGAATTACTAAAACAATTTAGTCAGCAATAAGCAATGGCATTCGATCACAATTTCATCCAAAAGGAAAATAACTTTTATCATCAACTATAACATTCCAGTGAGCTTAAATATATATATATATATATATATTTAAAAAAATCATATATTATTATGTAATTTCTACAACTAGTCAAACATTACTTTAGTATCATTATTTATTATCATCCTAAAAATCAGAGTATTGGTTAATTAAAAATATATATATGCACCAAAAAAGTTGTCTTACATTTTACTAATAACAAAAAATAAAATAAAAATAAAATCAAGACGCAATGTACACGATTAATTTCTTGAAAGTCCATAAAATACAACAACGTGTTCTTATTAATATTTACTCTCTCGGGATCATTCTACAATATCAGCCTAAGAAAAATAAAATGAAGAAACGAGCGTAATCTAATTCCCCTCATACAAATTTAATTCCAGTGCATATTAACATAATCTGCACTAAATTTACTTCCAAAAGTAGACTTAAAAAAAAAACGGTCATTAAATAAATAAAGAAAAAGAAAGAAATTTGACTTTGAGAAACTAAAAAGAAAAAAATATACGAAAACGTAAACATCAAACAAATACAACAAAAATACAGCTAGTCCGCGTATTAAATACCCCTATGTTACTGTATTATTAATTTTTCTATACCAAAGCATCGGTAGAAGAAGAAGAAGAAGAATCATGTTATATACACCTCATTCTTAATTGTTACGCCTCCTCTTCTTCTTCTTCCTCTCTTTCTCTCTCTTAAAATGATTCAAAATATATAATCCCCACTTTCTTCCACCCACCCCAAAATTCATTGTACCCAGAAAACTCTTTCTCTTCTCTTCCGCCATCAAGTCGGAGCTCCTCCTCCCCGGCGGCGGCGGCGGTGGTGGTGGTTTCAGGGTTCCCTGAAGGAATCAAAATTTACTCGATGTACACATTTCCAGTACTCATTCACATCCATCATCATCAGAAGGGAAGAAAAAGGGAATTAGCAGCTGATTGAAAACAAAAGAAAGAAAAAATTCATTCCGGTGAAGGAATTAAAAAAGGTTAAATAAATCATTATTCATTAATGGTAATTGATTATCACCACCAGTACAGCAACAGTACAATGGCAGTAGCACCACTTTCCTTCTCATCGTCGTCCTCCGCCGGCTCGGCCGCCGGTGCCGGAGAAAAGAAGCACTGGTGGCTCACCAACAAGAAGGTAATGAATCATTCTTTGTTTCGTCTAATGTGAACTTTCATTCAATTTTTTTCTGCAAATTAATTAGTGCTAATGTGTGTGTATGTGGAACAGATGGTGGACAAGTATTTGAAGGAGGCTAAGATTCTTCTGGCAAGCCAAGATCAATCGGAGATTGTTTCGGCTTTGAATCTATTGGAAGCGGCTTTGACGATCTCGCCGCGTTTGGAGCATGCCTTGGAACTGAAAGCCAGGTGTTTGCTTCATCTCCGGCGGTACAAGGACGTTGCCGATATGCTCAAGGACTACATTCCTAGCCTCAAGATGGCTGCTGCCGGCGCCGGTGATTCTCCCAACTCTTCCACCGAAATCGGCGGATCCTCTGCTCTCTCCAAAGAGCAGGTTAAGCTTCTGTCATCCTCTTCTTCCGGTGTTGTTGAGGAAGAGGAGGCCGAGCCGATCTTTAAGTGTTTCTCCGTCTCCGATTTGAAGAAGAAAGTCATGGCTAGTCTCTGCAAAAATTGCCAGAAAGAGGGCCAGTGGAGGTAATTCATATTCCTCGATATAACAATTTTTAATTATTGATAACATTAATTTGGTGTTCTAGTGTTTGGAATCGATGCATCTTATGGTGAAATGAATTCGTTTAAGTGTGTTGCATTCACATATTTTGCCGTGAAGTTCATCAGATTTCGAAAAAATGCCAGCTTTAACATATTTGCAAGATGAGTTTTGCAGTTTCCCACCTGGTGGTGATATTGATTGATCTGATACAAAATGTGGTTTTATTTCATAGTTTTTCATGTTTCTAATGGTGAAGTGCTAAAATTTCTAATGTATTTATGGCTTATTCTTTAGGTACTTGGTCTTGGGTCAAGCTTGTAGCCATTTAGGGCTAATGGAGGATGCCATGGTTCTTCTTCAGACTGGTAAACGCCTGGCTTCTGCAGCCTTCCGGCGTGAGAGCAATTGCTGGTCCGATGACAGCTTTTTCTTCCGAGAACTCCCCACCACCATTCCCGATCAACCTCAAGCACCACAAACTGCACCACCAAAGACCGAGGCTGAAAGCATTTGTCATCTCCTTAGCCACATCAAGCTCCTCATCCGGCGGAAGACTGCCGCTTTGGCTGCCCTGGATGCAGGACTATACTCTGAAGCCATTAGACATTTCTCGAAAATTTTAGATGGCCGTCGAGGAGGGCCTCAGGGCTTTCTTGCTGAATGCTATATGCATAGAGCCTTGGCGTATAGGTCTGCTGGAAGGATTGCCGAGGCGATAGCTGATTGCAATAAAACCCTGGCGTTGGATCCCTCTTGCCTTGAGGCATTAAACACTCGAGCCACCCTTTTTGAAACCGTCCGATGCCTGCCTGATTCGCTGCATGATCTTGAGCATCTCAAGCTTTTGTATAACTCCATTTTACGGGACAGGAAATTGCCCGGACCAGCCTGGAAACGTCAGAATGTCCAATACAGGGAAATTCCTGGGAAGTTATGTTCTTTGGCAACCAAAATGCAAGAATTGAAGCAGAGAGTTGCTTCTGGTGAAACAGGGAATGTAGATTATCACGCGTTAATTGGGTTGAGACGGGGTTGCACCAGATCAGAGTTAGAGAGAGCACATTTGCTGCTCACATTGAGACACAAGCCTGATAAATCTTCTAGTTTTATTGATAGATGCCAGTTTGGAGATGAGCGCGATGTGGAATCAGTTAGGGATAGGGCAAAAATGTCGGCATTGTTGTTGTATAGATTGATCCAGAAGGGTTACACCAGCGTAATGACAGCCATCATGGATGAAGAGGCTGTCGAAAAACAGAGGAAAAAGGCTGCAGCTGCATTACAAGCTGCACAGGCACAGACACAGGCACAGGCAATTCAAGTTCAACAGACACAGCTGCCGCCACAGCCACCTGTGGCCGTTGTTGTTCAGCAGATGACCAATGCGACGGAGCCCTGCAGGATTGAGAACAAGGGTTCTTCTGCCAATGCAGCTGCTAGTGCTTCTGTGTTTCAAGGAGTTTTCTGCAGAGACCTTGCAGTTGTGGGAAATTTGATTTCTCAGGCCGGTTTTAACCGTCCAATTCCAGTGAAATACGAGGCATTAAGCTGTTAATGGTGGCAGTAATAATGAATCAAACCCTTGTTTGATCAGGTCAATGAAGAAATCTGGAGGGATTTTCAAGAAGTTGAATAATAATAATAAGAATAGCATGATGCAAGATCAATGAGTAGTAATTATGATGCAGTATGGTCATTTTTGTACAAAAAGGAAGAGAGGTTAATTTACTGCCTGGACAGGCCAGGAAAATTTTGTTTTTGCCCCTACCATAAAACATCTACCCTCCCCTTTCTTTAGTTCTTTTTAACTTTGTTACCTGTATCTGTACAGAGTTAAATTCAGTACTTCAGTACTTCCTTTTAGTTTCTTTCTACTCTTTGAAATTTGTTTTGGTTCATAAATTCCCTTCTGCCAGAAATTTATTTCATTCACCATTTATGTTCTTCCATTCCCTTTGTAGATTGATAGTAATAGAGAAACAGGGCTAAAATAATGGCACTTTTTTGCATTGGAATAGTAAAATGGGAAGAAGGGGGTATCCTATTATTAATTAGGGTTTTGCTTACTGGAGCTGTTTCTTGGCTTTATTTCAAAGTACTTTATCTATGTGATGTCTCATCTGATCTGCATCTCCATGAATTGTTTGTTGTCAGTGATCCTGTTTTATTTATAGTATAGTAATTATTATCCAAAAGTCATACACACACTGCCCAATTCTGACATTCCACTCTCTCCCTCCCTGCCTAGATTTCATTTTAAGCACCATTTTACATCATCATTTTGATACTTTAAACCTTGGATGACCTCATCTCTGTCTGTAGTTATCCATATGCATGGTTTTTAATTGGTTTTTAGCAGAGATGATGATGCTGTAATAGTGTAATGGAATGAGCGGAAATTAAAAGCTTTCTTAAAAAAATTGTTAATTGCTGAGAATTTGCAGTAAGGGTATTGGTCCCCCCATGGCCTCTATATGAATATACTTGCTATTCGTTATTTCTCATTTTGTTTTTGTTTTTGTTTTTCATTTTGTTTTTGTTGTTCGGGTATGTTATTTCATTTTTTTAGTGTGTATTTTTAGATGTTTTTTATTTTGGGAATGTAAAAAGATGTATTAGAAATATAAAAAGGTATGTTGGAATGAGATAGTTATTATTAAAATAATCCAAAAAAATCGTCCAAAAAACCAAACGAACCTAGCCCCGGTTACTGGGTCTTGAAATTTCTCGTGTGGTTTGTAGGCTTGTTTAGGTTCGATTTCCCCAATTCTTATAGGTTGGTTGGTTAGGCTTTCAAGCGTTTCATATGGGTTTCCAAATTCATTCTTCATTTCTTGAAACATTTTACATAGTTTACCATTTTCAATACAAAATCTTGTATTACTTCAAGCGCAACTTTTCAAATACGGAGTAAAAAAAAAGAAACGCAATTAGGAGACCCTCAATCTCATAAAAAACTCGTTTAAGATTGTGGGTATGTTCCATGGGTGTGCAATTCCCTTATCTATAGTACTTTAGAATTCAACACAAAAGGCACACAACAGAGAAGTGACCATAACTCACAAGTATGAATACCTTGCAAACTTTTTTTAAGGTTTTGTCAGAGGAGATTGACAAGAGGGATTGATTTGTCATAGTCATAGAATGGGTCTCTCAAATCTGAATACTATGATGATGAGGATGAACTATTGCGCCCCTGCAAAAAGAAACAACACAAATGCTGCTCTCTAGCTATATTGTCTCATCACAAACTCTTTGGGGTGCCCCCAAAAATGGTTTATTTCTCAACTTTTTGTTCCAAAAGACAATCTTGTTTGCTTCACCATTTTGGTATCAGTTCAAATCACCTAGACATTGTTGAGAAAACAAATTAAACTACATTGCTCTCATGTTAAACCGTTCAATTTGTTGAACTATAACAGTAAAACCTATGAAACAGCTTGTAAATATTTTAGTTGGTTGAACTAAAATAATAAATCAGGGTTAGGGTATTATCTTTCTTGATGATAGAATAGGGTTCGATTCTCACCAAGAGGTTTGTAAAGGAGATTTTACCTATATTTAAGTGGAATCTACTGAGGTGGTTTTTTTTAAAATAATAATAATAATAATATAACAAACTAGACTATGATAATAAGACCGATGAATCATTTCAAACGGGAGCAGATGTTTAATTTCACAGACATTAACAAAGAAAGGTGATGGCATTGAACAAACGTTGATCATTTTTTACTGGCCATATTGATTATTATTCTAACAAGTTTGGTAAATTACTTGTAGACTTTTAAGATGGTAAAAAGTAAAAACACACGAAAATGTGGAATCTTTTTAATCATGAAAGGTCTTGATCATGATTATATATAGTCACTGGTGAGGCAACAATTTAGTACTCTTACTACTATGCCACCCAACCATGGGCTTTGATGAGATTCATCAGCTTTATGATTTTTCTTTTTAAGGAAGTGGGCCAAAAGTACTACTAATTTGTTTCCAAAGTTCGAAGCCAGGAATGCCATTATTCATTCAAAGGAATGGGTGAATTATACAAAACCTTCTTGATAGATCAGATCAATACCACCCGTTTGGATGATAGTCATTTTGTTTTTCGTTTTTTTTTTTTTTTTTTGGTTTATTCATACTCCTATATATGGTATTACCACCGTCCCAAAAAAAAGTCCACATTGAGTTTTCAAATTTATACTAAAAATAGTACAAAACTAAAAATTTAACGTGAATTATTTTTACGGAACGGAGAGAGTATCAATCATTTTTCTAGTAAATCGTTGTTATATTTCTAGGAATCTAAGTCAAGTAATGGAATTAAGCGTTTGATGCACGAGATATTTCAATGAGGAAATAAAAACGTTTCAGTAGTACCCCTAAAGAATTGCAGAGTGTAAAGACTATAAATACAGAACAAAAGATGTTTTCTTCTGGCAGATGGCTTTATGTGGAAGTAAAGTTGCATACAGTGAATGACGCTTCATCAATGCATCATCCCTTTTTTCTCCTTTTACTTTTTATATCCTATAATTTTATTTTTTTTTCCTACGTTAGTTAACTCATCAACAAAAAAGAAAAAGAATAGTATTCGATGAAAAAAAAAATTGCTCAATCACTAATCAGGTTTAATTAATAACTTGTAACACGATTCGAGTCAAGCTAAGTGCGAGTGGTTAGATGGAGAACCCTAGTTAATCTTGTGATTTCATCCAAGTAATATAGGTGTGATATATTTGAAAAGCACATTTTAATTGCTATGAATTAAAAAGAAAACGGGAAAGCAGAGCATATTTTCGTTGCTTGCGCCAATAAATTTGCCAAAATAAATGAATTTCACGCCCAAAGAAAAAGGCCGCAGAAAGGGACTCATAATAAAAGGAAGAAAATCACGTGCAACACCACACACACACACACACACAGAAAAAAAAAAAAAAAAAGAAGTTGCTTGCATATCGATGTTTATCCGGAAGGAATCCCATAGTAGGCCACCATTCATCATGGAAACAACAATAAAGTTACATTATTATGTAAAATTATGCCGAAAATTTATTTATAACGAAGTTGTTTTTGATAAGAGCGTCTGTTACATTAAAAACAACGCATTTCAGAGGTAAATTACCCGATAATAATATCACATACAAGCTATTTATAAATATGTTAACTGATCCAAGGATCAATACGGAGTACGAGATCAAAAAATCTACTGCAAAGTTTATCATTATATGGATGTTTAGAGAATTTATTCTCATCAATATAGTGCAGTTCATTGCAAGTAAAGTACTCTCCCTGTCCCAAAATTATTGTCCAGTTTGAAATTTCATTTTTAGTACAATTTGAATTAAAAATGAAAAATCGAACTGGACAATAATGATGGGACCGAGGGAATAATTCTTTTGTGTTTCTATCGCATTTCAAGATACTTCCCGATGAATCACTTGTGATGTATTGGCAATGAAGCATTTTGGATACTGATAAGCAAATTAAAAGAATTGAATTGATGAACTCACTTGCAAGTTAATTATATTTTTTTATTACATCCTTACATAATCAAACGAACAAAAATTAATGCCCTTCCCTATAAGGCTCTAATATGCACCCTCATGTTAAAGATAAACACACTCTCCGTTCCGAAATTATTGTCCAAACTAGACAAAAATTTCGGAAACTGAAAATTCAAACTGACCAATACTTAGGGACGGAGGGAGTAGATGTTTCTTTTTTCATACAATGAGATGTATATATTTTAAAGATCTAAAAAACAACAAAACTACACTCCCTTTTGGTAATTAAAGAGGTAACACATAGGTTAATTTCTTATTTTCCTTTGGTGTTTATATTGAATCCTCTTTCTTTTAAATGGAATCAACTCAATGTTCTTCTAAAGGAATGGAAACAAAAAAACTGAAAGTTTGTGTTCATTCAGGAACAATAATTGTGAAATGCCAACCCAAAAATTTTTGAATTGGGAATTATAAAAAGTGGTTGGGAAAATGTGGGGGGCAAAATTTACATGCATGCATGCTTCCCCATATCTCTACTACATCTCTCTCTCGTGAATTTAATTATTATTATTGTTTGAAATTCATTCTACATTATTCAATTCAATATCTTTTTGGAAACTCCAAATTTATTATACTCAACGTTTTCTGACAAATGCTGCAAATTTTTAATTATTTTCCAAATGAACTTGAGATTCAGACAACGTACAATTCACATACGAAGTAAGAAAAATACTCCTTCCGTCCCATAATTATTATACACTTTAGATTTTTATTTTTAGTTCAAATTGTATTAAAAGTATAATCTCAAACTGGATAATAATTTTAAGACAGAGGGAGTACCTCACAAAAGCTCTAGTGGGCTAATGGTGGAACAGCTTATGCGAAAGTCAGAGATCTTATTTCTTTTTTTTTTTTTTATATTTTGATCAAAAGTAATTAACAACAACAAAAAAAAAAGTGAAAATACCAAAACCATATCACCTTGGGAAGTATTTATTTAAATTAATTTTGTTCTTGTTTATACAGTAGTATCGTACAGCGTAAGAACAGGGTTTTGTCACACTGCCACACTGTTCTTTATAATATATAGAAACCTTTTTTTTTTTGTTTTTGAAACAATATAGAAACCTCCTAAGTATGATTGACTTTTCATCCCTTCCGCTTGTATCCACTCTGGAACTGAGTACCAGTGCATATACATTGTTCAAAAGGTACTCTACTTTTTAGTTAATGTTTTTTTTAATAAATAATATTATGTCAAATTGAAGAAAATACACAGTAAGAAAGTGAGAATCAAATGGAAGAGTTGGCTGAGGTTTAATGTGCATGATGAAGGCGAAACCCATCACCAACTACTTTATCGGCATATGTAGTTCGTGCTTTATCAAAAAAGCTTCTCGCAGGTGTTACTAAACCCTATTAAACCGAGTTATTTTGTTACAGATTGTACTAAACACGAAAAAAATAGAATATTGATTTTAAGTTATTCACACTATTATTATTCTCATTTATCAAAGCAAAAAAATATAAAATTCAAATATTGAACTAATACGTAATAATTACGTTAAGTTAAGGATCAAGGTACATACATCTCTATCTATACGTTTATATATCGCCAAGAACATTCTAAATAAACGCCCTAATCGCGGGACCGATGATTCGTTCTAGGGATTCTGAACATTACTGTTAATGTCCACATAAACAAGAAAGAAACTTAAGAAAAAATGAGATCGAGAAATGAAATAGGGATGAGAAAATAAGAGTTAGTAATTATTTAATTAAAATTGTACAGTTTTGAGGACTTTGATGTTTGAATGTTGGGAACATGGGAAAGGGAGGAACTGTGTTTTCTTTTGGGGGGGGGGGGGTTTGGGGTGGTTGGCCAGATATGAATGATGATGAATGATGATGTCAAGTAGACACAGCCAATCTCCATTGCACTTTGCCCCCCCATGTGATATTGAAATCATCAAATCATGTGACTTCAAAGTTCAAACAAAAAAAAAAAAAAAAAATTAATGTGCGATCTGCCTGCCCACAATTGCAATTTGCCCACTCTTTTGTAGTCTTTTCTAATCTTATGTGTTTATATTTATATATATGCACTTATAAGACACAGAGATAAGAGTCAAATCTACTTCATAATCAAACCTTAAAAAGTTTGTCTAATTTTGGACCATGGAATCCTAAAACACCCAGTATTTTAATGTACTACTATATATTATGAGTATTATTATTACTACTTCAATTCTAACTTAGATCTCCCTGGACCAATTATATATGAAGTTTTTGAATGTGGAGGTAGGTATGATTCTGTGATCTCTCTTTCCCATTTTGGCTTATGTTGATTATTTTGTCACTGTGACCCAGCAAATTTCATCTTGCAATTTACATGGTGCGGTTCATAAAAGAAAATCAAAAATCACATCTCATTTTAGACAAATATCACACTCAAGTCGTTGTGGTGAGGTGAAAATACGATAAATATTTAAAAAATTTATAAAATCTGTTAAGAGTGAAAAAATTCATTATTCACCCATTGATTAACAGATCGGAACAACTTTGGTGTAGATCGAGAATGAAAAGGTGCCTTTGAGAGTAGCTATTTCTATACATAGTGTATCGTTTGTGTTCCAACTGATTATTGATCTTATATTATAGTAATATACTCTTTCCGTCTTAAATTAATTGTGTTGTTTATTAGTACAACGATTATTTCGAAAAATAATAGTACCCCTATGTCCCAAAAAAGTTTAATTTACATTAAAAATAAAACTCCAAACCAAACAATAATTTCAAATTATTTATTTAGTGAAGATGAAGGTTCTAACTTCTAACTCCATGGTTTTGCGTTAAACTATTTGGGCGCCACTCTTATTGGGCCTAAACAAATTTCCAAAATTTAGTACCCAACGCTAGTGGGCTTCTTTTATTTTGTTAAATTAGTTTCACAAGTGGCTGCTATATATGGCGGAAATTGCTGCAAGTGCAATCAGCGAAATGAAACCACTACAGGTGGTAACGGGAGAGGATTCTCATTTATGGATTTGTACGTTCTTAGTACAATTTACAGACTATATTGTGGATTGATTTTGTTAAATAGAGAATACTTTTCAGGAAAAATTTAAAAAATTACTCATTTTATTATGAAATGATCGTCATATTTGGATTTTCATTATTTCGGAAAAAGAAAAAAAAAAGAGCGAGTACAAAATAACACAAACTAAGCATATGGTTTCAAAGATGATAAAGCTTTGAAAGCAAGTGTTCTATTACTAGTTTTTCCCAGCGAAAAGAATTACTCCCTCCATTTCAAAATGTAAATCGTTTTAGGTTTTAAGAAATATTTTAAAATGTAGGTCGTTTTAGAATTTCAAGGCAAATTAAAGATTAACTTCTCAATTTTGCCCCCAATAAATGATGCTAACTACTTCTCATCTAATTTTGATTATAGTTCCAAAACAATTAATGAAGGGCAAAATAAACATTTAACACATAAATTAATCACTAAATGATTGTCTCCTTAATTTACGTGAAGAGTCTAAAAAAACTTACATTTTGAAATAGAGGAAGTACTTATTCCCAAGATAGTGATACAATCTCTTAAGCCTTTTGGGGTCTCCCTTACACCCAAAAAGTAAAATAAATTAACACAGTCAATTGTGAAACTACAAATTCATTGCTTATTTCCTAGTTACAAATTACCAGCTGGTATTAGCGTCCAAAAAAATCAATGCAGTTATAAAAGTTTGCTGGGGCCAACGACAAGGGCAGAAGATCATGAAAACCAATAGGAACACACGCAGACACGTTACACAATTCACAAAGAGGTCGGTGGCAGTTTGTACTAAGGAGGCATTATATAGAGTTGCCAATATTTGTTTTTCAGAGTCAAATATAACAAAAGCTATAAACTAAAAAGTACAAAGAAAAAGAAAAGAAAATTTACTTTCGCTTTGACTTGGGGATGGATTTCTTAGGCTTCTTTCCAGTTTTATTGCTGCAATTTTCACAATACCAGTCCCCTTCAGGGATCTCTTCGAGCGGGGGATCACAACAGCCCATGTGTACACCGATACCACAACCTGAAGAACCAGTTTCATCGCCACAAATGAGCAGTTCTTCTCCATTGTCACCAGAACCACACAAGTGACACTTAATGTCATCAGCACCATTTTGCTCCGGCGTAGAAACCTCAACCGTATCTTCCACACGGTTTACTTGTTTCTTAAACGACTTCATGGCCCAAGCATGCGTGTTGTATTGTACATGCTTGTCTAGAGGGTATCCCGGTTTACACACATATTCAACCAAATAATCAGCTACAACACAGGGTATCTCATATCTTAAGAATTCTTGAACCCAAATGTCATCTCGCTGGATCCCAGGACTAACAATGGCAAAGTCGATTCTTCCTGACTCTAGCGAGCGAGTGTAAGGAGGTGAAGTTGCCAAAATAGTACCATCTCCAGCCTTCACCACGCGCTTCAGTGTGTCCTGAATTATGGTAAAAAGAACGTAAGACTGACAAAAATTACAGATCTGCAGAAACCGCAAATCTTGGAAAGCATTTGCAAATGTGCAAACAAAACTAACATTGGGTAGATGATTTACAAAAAGAACAATTAAATTAAATACATATACTAAGGAAGAATTCAACTTCATTGCATAAAAGGATCTGTGGAAACACAAGAAAGCATACCAGTGAAGGTACAAAGCATTCTCCATAAATGATTATATGCATTCCATAGAAGGCACCGTGTCCAGTCCTCTCCTTCAAGAGACGCCACTTCCGTGGGGCTTCCAGGTTGATTGCACCATCTTCGTTAAGGCCTTTTTTGTGCCATTCATATGGCTCTTCAGGCAAAAACCTCCCAGCCTCATCACAAGCAGTTAAATAATCAGTCTTCAGAATCCACCTGCAGAAACCAATAAAAATGCAGTCAACCACAATTATTCATAGCCCCTGCAACTCCAAAACTGCTAGAGGAATTCTTCCACTTCTTTCTTTTAGAAAAATAAAAAAAAAATTGACTGTCTTAAGGCAATACCTTCCAGATGCTGCAGCAGCAAAAAACTTTTCAGTTCTGCGTAACGGATCTGGAACAATAAGATGTGTTGCTTGATAGTTCCATTGGTGAGAATCTCTGCACACCCTTCCTCTCAAACGTGTTATCACCTTTTTAAACTCCTTTCTTTGCAATACATGGCCTGTAAGTATAAACCATGCCGGGTTTGTTCTCGTTTGAGGATCCCGTAACACAGACTCTTCACCTGGCAGGGCAACCTCTTTCTCCTGGGATTTCTGGTTTGATATTTGAGTCAAACTCCCAGTTTGCTTCTTTCTGGGCTTCACATTAAGGCTTCCGCTATGATCAGGCCTGTTCTCCTTATCTATTTCAGTGGGGTTCTTTGACTCATCCTCATCTGCCCTTGGGGAAGAAACCTTTGCCTTCTTGATTCTCGGCTTGGCTGCAGGCCTATTCTCCTTATCCATTTCAGAGGAGTTCTTTGACTCATCCTCATCTGCCACTGGGGAAGAAACATTTGCCTTCTTTGTTCTCAGCTTGGCTGTAGGCCTATTCTCCTCATACATTTGAGAGGAGTTCTTAGACTCGTGCTCATTTGCCAGTGGGGAAGAAACCTTTGCCTTCTTTGCTCTCGGCTTGGATACCGGCCTATTCTCCGTATCCGTTCCGTTCGAGTCGTTCAACCGGGAGCCATCTGCCAAAGGGGGAGCGACCTTTGCCTTCTTTGCTTTTGATTTTGCTGTAGGCCTATCACTTTTGTTTGAGTTTTTCGACTCGCCCCCATCTGCCACGAGGGGACTCATTACCATCTTTGTTTTTGCCTTTGCAGTGCTCATTCCCTTCCTCCTGTCACCTTTAGTAGAACTTCCTAATGTGGTCACCACGGTTGAGTTGTCTTTCTTTGCTCCAGTTAAAGTACGTTTTTTGCCTCTGATTTTCCTGTCCTCTTCAGTCCAATCCATGACTGTTGACTCATCATTTCCCATTTGCTCCAGAGAAGCAATTTCAGCTTCCATTTTAGAATTTTCCTCATCAGAAATCAATAAATCATCTTCTCTGGCAAGAACATCGTCATCCTGTTCATTTTCAACACCTACTTTACTTCCCGATCTTATATCATCTGAATGTGAAACGTCAACACCCTCATACTTGTTTTTGTTGACAACAGCAACTAATTCATTATCTTCCTGATTCTCTGGAGCTTCAGTTTCATCATCTACAATTCCTGCCACATTTCTCTCATCACTGCTGAATTCAAAAAAGCTGGCCATCTTGATATCTTTGTCCATATTTGTATCAGAACTCGGAGAAATCATCCCGGTATTTCCAGAAACAATAACCCTATCAAGGTCTTCAGTCCCCTTGCCTTCACTGGCACTGACAGGAGATTTCTCAAGAGAGACTTTTTCACTCGTGTTGGCCACTTTTTGATTTCCAGCTCCACCTCTGCCAAAGCTTGGTCTAGAACCCAAAGTTTTTTTAGCCACCTGCTTTTGTCGAGAACCCAAAGTTCTTCTAGCCGCCTGCTTTTTTCTAGGCGGTTTTGACAGAGTGCTGGCCTCACCTTCCGGATGGTCTATACCAACTCTAGTATTGGAATTTGCAGCCCCAGTTTTGCTGGTTCCAGGAGTTGGAGCTTCTCCATCACATGGCTTAGTAGATTCATTGAATACACCTTCACCTTCTGGATGGTCTAAACCAACTCTAGTATTGGAATTTGCAGCCTCAATTTTGCTGGTTCCAGGAGTCGGTATTTCTCCATCACGTGGCTCAGTAGATTCATTGAATACACTTTCAGGTTTATCAGTGATGACATCTGCAACTTTTGTCATATGATCCAAGCTGGTATTCTCTCTCCTTCTGGACGCCAATGGAAGTGTTTCCCCACTGCAGTTAATTTGAGGCATGGCATCCTTTACGAAGTTGATTGGAGACTTATGTGGCTCAGTAGTTTCATTGGACATAGTTTCAGGTCTATTAGTATCATCTGCAACTTCCATCTTATGATCCAAGTTGGTTCTGTTTCTCCTTTCTGAAGACATTGGAAATGTTTCCATCTTAAGAGGAGAATCTTTTTGGGGACTCAAATGAGCATTACCATCTGCATTGGTGGAACTTACTACAGGCGAATGACTAGTTGTCTGTAGCTTTCTATTCGTAAGAGGTTCAGGTGCAGCTTGTTCAGTTTTGTCCTTGCATAATGTACCTTCTGAGATGCAATCCATGTCCATGTTTCTGTTTTCAGAGGCATTAACAGTTTGATCGTTTTGCTCATCTCCTGGGGGTAATAGATTTTCCGCCAAGGAACTTTTCAGGTTAGGGGATACAGTTCCTTTCTCATCCATCCTGGAAGAAGACCGGGCAAAGCATTCGTTGACCATGTGGTTGCTTACAGATTCGAAAGGAAGAGTAGCTTTCCTTGGGGTTTTTCTGGAATAACTTAAAGCAATGTGGTCGGAAGCACTGAGCTGAGGTGATTTAAGGTGTTCAGGTGCACCAAGCTGAGGAGATTTCAAATGGTCGGATGCACCAAACTGAGGAGATTTCAAGTGGTCAGACGCACCGAATTGAGGCGATTTCATCTGGTCAGATGGACTAAACTGAGCTGATTTTGTATGGTCAGATGCACCAAATTGTGGCATCTTCGTACGGTCAGATGAACTGAACTGAGGTGATTTTGTGTTGTCGGATGCACCAAACTGAGGCGATTTGTTGTGGTTGGATACACCAAACTGAGCTGATTTCCGGCGATCAGATCCACCAAACTGAGGCGATTTCATATGATCAGATGCACCAAACTGGGACGACCTCGTGTTATCAGATGCGCCGACCTTGGGTGATTTCGTGTTGTCAGATGCACCGAGCTGAGATGATTTCTTATTACTATAAGAAACTGAACTGAAGGCACTTCCAACAAATGGAGAGGATGATTTATTCATTGATTGTAATCGAAAACCACCGCAAATGTTCTCTGCACTTCCATTTTCAGCGGTAGATGCTTCATTGCGACTTAAAGTTCCTTTTTGAAATGGAACTTCATCACATTTAGCTTCCTTTTCCTCAATTAACAAAGAAGCTGAAAGGGCAGCAAACTCTCTTTGTGCCTGTTGGCTGATTGCTGTATTTGACAACTCGTCTTCAGAATCTTTAGCTTGAGCTTCCATCATTTCCAATTCATAACCACTACATAGTTACACAGACATGGTTACACATTGTATTTTTCTCCATTCTTTGCAAGTTCAATATTTATATAAAATGGCAGTATCTGGAACAACAAATAAGAATTGTAATCCATGAAAAGTGAACCAAAGTCCACCATGTGCCTGAGAAGTAAGAATACAAGCCAAACACGAAGCTCATGCAATAATAACTAAGGAGCTTCTTGGTTCTGTCTCACCTCTTCTCGTAGTCAGCTTCAGGCATAATTTTCCAACTTTTTAAACTGGCCAAGCAAAAGAAAAAAGAACAATTGTGCATCATGAGCGGCTTAGGAATCTTAAAGGGAACGCGAATCAACAACTAAAAATACCGGCAGTTAAATGATGTTTTATATAATTAAGTTGAGGATGTACCAATCTTCCAACCACAGATGGTTGACAAGTTTAATCCTGTTAATTTTCTTTGCAAGCTCATACTTCTCGCCTGTCAGCACAAACAATTTCAACATTATGAAAGATGTACTGTCTTAAACCTGGGGCTGGCGACCCCACAAACAAATGAATGTGTTTACTGATTCTTAATGTGAGATTTGGTGTTTATGTTAAGCATTCTTCTTTGGATGAAAGTGATTAAAAGAAAATAAGTTCTTTCTTTGTATCAACAGATTGAAATAACCTTTTCAAAAAAAAAAAAACAGATCGAAATAACCGACCTTCGAATTTGTAGCATACTAGATGAGTAACCTTGTTTGCCACCAAAGGCTTTGAAAAATTTGCACCCATCAAGCCAACCATTGTCTGTTAAATGGAAGAATGCAAGTGTTAGAAGGTCCTTAATGGAAGATAATCACAACTCAGGCAACAACGTCAAAGGCCCATCCAGAGCTTGTCTCTCTATCAGAACTTCATTGGTATCACAATGAAAAGGTCAAAAACAGCTAGAGACCAACCATAATATCTTCTCGATAGTGACGCAGGTATCCAGTCAAGCAAATAACCAAAGATTTGGCCCCCGGAATTCCATTCAGGTCCCTTAAAGGCCTATACATGATCTGTAAGAAGAAAGATGAGAAATTTCGGAACCATAAGAGAACATAATGCAGCAAGCAAATCTATACATGACCCTGATTCATTTTTATTTGCTAAATAGTGATAATAAGCAAACCAGAAATACAAAAACTAACCATGGAGGACACTTCGGAAATAATGACTAAAATTTTGCTTTTAGCTATAAATGTCTTCAGATGATTAAAAATAATAATATATGCAATGTTATAATCTATGAAAACCACTATGACTTTTCCACTACCCTCAAAGATAACTCATTAGTCAATCTCATGTTAAAACAAACAACTAGAAAGCAGGACTTTACTGGCATTGTCTTAACAAAGAAAAGCACCACAAATATGGAGCAAAAAGAACAAATAGATGAGTTATTCTTCGGAAAAGAAACTAACAGAGGCTGTGTCAGCAGGCATTCCCAAATCAAAACTATGGTCAACCCACAAATTGGTGACTACCGACTTGCCATCCCTTCGAGCAGCCGCACAGATGGGATCATCCTGTGTCACCATATAAAAAACATAATTAATTCACAAACAATGAACTAATTTGAGTATCAAACGTAAACAGAGAAATCATATTCACCATATAACTTAAAACATACGATTCATGTTGACATTGTTCACTATGAAAATTCAGAGTGATTTCCAATACTGGAAAAAAATTAGAACTCACATAAACAACTTTATCCACAACAACGTGAGTGCAGTCGGAACTGTATCGAACATCAGCCACTCCACCGCCTTCCACAATTTTGGACCTCACCTACAGAATCAGTTTTTACACATAAATTTCTTTCTGCACAAAGTAAAATATATTTCATTTTCTACAAACACATTATAACAATCCTCCCCCGAAAAAAAACAATTTTACGGGCAGAAAATACCTTCTGTAGCGAAATGGGATCAAAACCTAAAAGGACGAACTTCAATCCGGCGAAGAAATCGTAAGAATCCTCTTGCTCCGCCTCCATGTCCAGTTAATTCGACTGAACTTTGAAAATCCCTCCGACCAACTCAGAACCCTAGTACCATTTGGTACTTAAATTAACGGAGAAAAACATTCTCTGATAAATACGCGTAGAAATGATAAATGGGGGGAAAGTTAGCAAAAATTTATAAATCAGAAGTATTTATGATACTTTTTTTGGTGAAAATCTGGGGGGAATCGCATCAAAATTATCTGGGAGAAATTTTATGAGAAGCTTGCTGGGGAAGAACTTAAGAAGAAATGGAGGAGGGGGGGATTTTCGATTTTCGTGAAAATTCGTTTGGCGGGAGAGTAAAGACGATGTTGGGCCAACTAGTCCAAATGTGTACGGTCTAACAATTTGGGCTGATTTCGTGGCCTAAACGGATAATATCAAAAAGAGAAAGGAAGAGAACACAAAGATAAAAGATAATCGACACGTGTCGCTCATCGATACCATCAAGTCTCAATTAATACGTGTCATTTGCAAATCATTAATCAGTTAAAATTTTTTGTAAATATTTAATTAAATTATTTAATACTCCCTCCGTCCCACAAAAATAATCTAATTTAATAAAAAATCTTGTCCTAAAAAAATAGTCAAGTTTAACAAAAGTCAAAATTCATTGAATTGAAATGATTTAAATATCCAAAAGAGTAGTGGCATGAAAAACAAGGTCAACTTCCTTTGATTTTATTTTTTTTAGTTTTTTCTTATTTTTTCAAATGATTATATCTTTTAATACATGAATAATTAAAAAATGTGTTATATATCAAATTAATCTACGTAACGAGATCTTTCCATCAAGATCCATTGTCAATATTTTTTGAGATAAAAATTTTGATCAAATTTAAGTTGTAAAATAAATGCATATATAGTTAATTTTTATAGAAATAACTGAAAGCGGTATTAGTGGAAGTTGGGGAAATGAAATGAGTTGTACATTTGGTGTGTTGACTAAATTAAAAAAGTTGTACAGTTTCAAACTGGACTATTTTTGTAGGACGGGGGGAGTATATAAGATTTTTACAGATATTACAAATTTCTGATTGTGGCCTTGAAAATGAATATTTTTGAAAATTGCTGAGAAACTCCCGACTTCAAAAGTCCTTTCATTTACGAGTTTAAACTTTCAACATATTGTCATTTTGGCCCTTAAAGTTTCATTTGTGTGCTATTTAGTTTTCAAGTTTATTGATTTTACATTTTCAAGGACGATTAATTGTGTCTCATATTTTATTAGAACTACATCTAATCCTCAAAGTCCACTTGCCTATAAAAACAGACCATATGCATCTAGACATAATTTACGCATTTTTTAAATTTATTTTTTAAACTAAACATAACATTAGTTAGTGGTGATAATTTTTATTATACAACTTTTGAAAATCTTTCTTGTAATATTTTTTATCAGATTTTACAAATATACCTCTCATAAATAATATCAATACTTCTCATTTTGATCTAAAACTGATTAATCAAAAAAATTTACAATTTTAAGAAATCTTAGTAACTACATTTTTTTAAGAGAATAAGGACGACATATTTGTAACTACATTATCTAATCAATTATTTTAAAATATAAATTTTCAATATTGACAAAGCCGCGCAAAACGAGGGACACACACTAGTCTAGAAATAAAGAAACAAAAAATCAATCAGAGAAAAATAATAATTAGGGAGAAAACGACATTTTCATTCGTATCCGTTTGTTTTCTCAACCCACAAAGATCCAACTGCATGATAAAGTGAGTTTTATTTGTTTTATTTTATTTGCTTTTATTAATCATCAGTTAGTTAATATTATTTTCAATTTGCTATGATTAATACTATATAATTAGTGCATTTGTGTTAGTTTAAAACAAAAAACAGAAACAAAAACAAAAAAACAAAGGGAAAACAAAGCATTAAAGCACTTTGGTAATGATTAACTAGTCATATTTCATGGTCCATCACTGTGGCCAAGCTCGGCCCGCGGGCAACCAAGGTTCCGTCTGGAACATTCGGTATACACGAGGCCCTCGTGGTTAAATAGCAACCAAAACTGGTGGCATATCACAGCAATAGTCCACCAACTCCGTCATATGTTTCATTTTACCCAAAGTCAAATGGATTTTCCATTTATAACCTATAAAATTTTGCAATACACCTTATTTCCATCACACTTAAATTAGACACTTAATTATATAATTTTAGTTTAGTACAAGAAGCTAATCATTTAGAATAGAAGAAAAAAAATTTTGGGGAATAGAAAAATAGTGTTTAGCTATCTTAGAGCAAACACAATTAATCTAAATCAGTATACACTTAAACCTTGGAACTGGAAAATTTTAAATTGAAAAATTGTAAAAATTCAGATAATAACATGTTAGAACTTTCCCCAAAAGGGATGCGCAAATATGGCAATGTATTTTTTCTTATAATTTGTTTAATTGATGTACCTTGATAGCTAAAACACAAATTAATGTAGATTGAATCACATTCATTCACGTTTTTATTCACACATAGTTATGTATTAGCTATATAAACTAGATTTTAGTAAGATTTAAATTTTTATTTATGATAAAAAAATATTAAATATCTCTATCATCAAACACTCAAAAATACAAGACCGATGTTGGATCATATTTTCCATCCATGTTAAAATTAGTGTAAATTTTTAATCATCGATTAAATCATTCAGTCAATGATACTAGTATTACATTTTAAACCTTTTAATTAAGTAGTTTGATAGTGTTTTGCCTCCTTCATTGTAACAAAAAAAAAAAAAAAAAAACTAACATAAGACTCTATAAATTTCAAGTGATAAAATCTAAATATGCCAAAGTTGAAGGACCGTTGGCCTAAATTTGCTCCTCTGTAAAACAAAGCCCGGAATTCTCATCACCACTGTTGACTGTTGTTTGTTGGGTTTTGATATCAGAAGCTTACCGTTCATCGGAGCATACCTTAATTTCTTGACGAAGGGAATCCGATCCGACCCACAACCGGAAGCTTCTATTAGGAGGAATTCTCGAGGAGGAAAAACCCAAAAAACAAGAAAAAGAAAGAGGAAGAAAGATGGGTTGGATGAGCCGGTTTTTGACGGCAGTGGCTTTCTTGGCTGTCGGAGTGTTGTTCTCACCCGAAACATTCGGGTCCAAACCCGATTCCCAGCCGCACTCCGCCCTAGTTCCCTTCCTTAAGCTTGCCCACTTGCTCTGCTTCGCCACCGCTTTTGGCTCCGGCCTCTGGGTCACCTTCATCGGCGGCATTATAATGTTCAAGTTTGTACATATCTCACTATTCTCTCGTAACATTTTTAGAGAGATTACATTTTCTAATTTTTTATTTCAGGGAAAATAAAAAAGTTAGTGTCAGCGATTTCTCGGCTAATATTTACTTTTTATGTTTTAAGATTATCCTGAACTTGATTAAATGCAGTTTATCGTTAGGCTATGTATGTGTGGATTGTATAAAATGTGCTAAAAAAATCTCAGTTATTGCATTGTGATTTGTAAAGAATAAAGGGCTTTTCTTAGATATAAGAGTGTTGCAAAATGTAGTTTACGTTTAAGATGATTCAGGTGTGACTGTACGAGCTTTTTAGTTTAGAAAAAGTGATAATTAGCTCAGCTGTTTGTGATTTAAATTGTGTATGAAACAAAATGTTACACATTGTTAACATTATGATTGTTAATTGAGGGATGGAGGGAGTATTTATTTATTTTTTTATTTTTTTATGTTGGTGTTTTGTTTGTTTACTAAGGGAAAAAGTTTCATATCTTGTGTGTAGGAATTTGCCTAGGCATCAATTTGGGAATTTGCAGGGAAAGATGTTCCCGGCATACTTCTGGTTGGTTGGTGTTTGTTGCGCTGTCTGCGTGGCTGCCTTTGGATACTTGCATCCTTGGAAGACTGCTTCTTCTACTCAGAAGTACCAGCTCGGATTTCTTATTGCAGCTTTTGCTTTTAACCTTAGCAATCTTGTTGTCTTCATGCCTATGACCATCGAGGTATTTCTTCTTCTTCGTGTCTTTTACTTTTCTTGTGTTTCTATTACAGAAATTTATTTTGGTTCTTGCCATTGATAAAAGCTCACTGCTTTATCTATTAAAGATAGCCTGTGTCCCTAAGAATCTGCAGAAATATGTGAAGTATAAAGTAAACCTGCACAATAGAGGTGCATTTGTGCACTGAGTTGACCTTTGATATTCTTAGAGTAGCAAATAAGAGTAAAAACAATTTCCATACTGATCGTTATGGTGCTTATTCAATAACTGCATCTTTACCTCCATTTGCACTATTACAACCATGAGGTCACTTGTCACATTTTGTGGTCAGTGGTCATCGCAGATGTTAGTATTTTCATGTTGGGGCAAAAAATTGATATTACTATAGCTGAGTTTCTATGAACCTTACGTGGCAACTCGTGTTCTCCTCTTATGTATGGGTTGACTTGTTGCGGTAATTTTCATTTCCGGAGAGACACAATGTGAAAAATGCTGACTTAAAATGCTGCTGTCTAGGACACTGTGTCAGTCATTCCTAAGTAGTGCACAGTGCACACTGAGGGTAGAACTGTTTGCCTTTTTTTTTTTGTGAGTCCTGTATTTGTAGTTGGAATGTTGTGTAAGCTAGCTTTTTTCTTGGACGTCATGTATTAGTACATGAAAAAGAACCAGGGATGAGCTTTGCATTTGTTTTGGGCTGTGGCATGCGTTCAAGACGTTGTCCATGAATGTATGTGCTGTCTTGAGAATGGAGTTAATATAAAGTTAAGGTCGTATAGGCTTTAGGAGAAACTGATGCTGGATGCAGATAACATAGTTGTTTGGTTGAATAGCATAGAATGGGATTGGGCTTCATTTTAAGCTATTCCTGGGAAATCCTCAGTGTCATTCAAAAATGGTGAGCGTGTTTTTTTTGGTTATAAACGAGGCAAGAGTTGTTTAAGGAAAGCTTTCCGGATGTTTGGAAATGCATTATGTATTATGTTGTCTGCATTTATTTCCTTAAAAGTATGCGTCAATAGACATACCGCACCACATTGTCTGGATTACATTATAGATTTCTGATGTAATTGTTCTTCTGAATCAGATGATGAAACAAAGGCACAAGATTGAGAGAGAAGCAAACATTGGTGAAGAAGTAGGCTGGACGAAGAATCAGGAAGTTGCAAAGGTAAATCCAAAGCTTGCAGCCATGAACAAGAAATTTGGGATGATCCACGGTCTGTCTTCACTTGCAAATATCATGTCCTTTGGAAGTCTTGCCATTCACTCATGGTACTTATCTGGTAAGATCAGCTTTTAGGTACAAAATGTAATAAAAGCCTGCATTGTCTTCCGAAACGAAGGCGTATAAATGTAACTAATATCAGATTGTCACATTTCACTATGAGATACATTAAGAATAAGGAAGTTCCAATTTCATTTGTTATTTGTTCAGACGTACCTATATCAGCAAGTTTCAAATATATGTATCACTATTGCCTATCAGTTTGTGGTTACCCCTTCAATGAACATCTGCATAGTGTATATCAATGGATCCATTTCGGTACCGTTTACCCTTCTTTTCTGAGATGTTGGGCTGCGTGCTTAGATTAGGTTTTGTTGTCCATTGTCAATGACTGTTGATGGCCATTAATCTGTGGGAAAAGAAACTAACTTTTTGGTTCCTTATGTTTGACATCTTACCATGTTAGGTCTTATATTACGGTTAGATGTACCAAATTTTCAGTGCAACTATTCTCAATTTCAGTTGCCATGTTTGATTGCCAAAGCTAACTGTTAACATTGTAGATTTGATTTTTTATTCGAACCAGAAAGTTTCACACAAGACTAATAAGTAATGGAAGAGTCGGTCTTTATTGATCTTGGTTATGCAATTATCATTGAGCCAAGCACGTAAATCTCCACATAGTGGTTTAAAGGCTGATTCTACCTGTGGTTAGTCCCCTAAAGTATGTTATGCGACTAATTGAGCCTTGTGCTGATTGCTGAATTGTTGCTATCTTGAAGAAACGGCCGTACTGCCTTCCAGGTTTTTTGTCCTTTTTAGTTTTAGGGGGGGGGGGGGAATGTAGTATAAAAGGAGTCTTTGACTTTGCTCTCTAGCATAAACATACATTCAATATTGTATTTACTAGAAAAAAGGAACTGTGTAGAATGTAGAATCTTGAAAAAGTAAAGCAAAAAATTGGACTCTAGCAAGTGTATCAGGCGGCCAGCCCACAAGGGACCATCTTCGATTTGGATAGGGCTTTGCCTTGTTGGATTGGATAGGATTTCTTGAAGCAAGCAGGGACTTTTTCATATTCTCCGATAATTTAAAAAAATTTGTGTCCTGACCTTGCCATGGATGTAGACTATAGAGCAATCTTTAAATTCTTTGGCCAATTCTTTCATCTATCTATCGAGATATTTACTATAAACGAAGGGGATTAGTCACTGTTGTCGACGGTGGACACCCTTGTAAAAAAAAATAAATAAAAATTTGTGTCCTGGATTTTAAACCTTTGATCTGAGCTAAATACTTTCGTGTTTACCTTGTAATAAATAATTTTTAAACCTTTGATGGACTCGGAGCTTTGGGGTCCTTTTTGCCTTTTGAAATAAATTTCATCGAAATCACTGTAACTAACATGAAAACAAGTCCTAAATGTTTGGATTCCATTTCATATACGTTGCGGAAAATCAGTTACATTGAAATATTATGTTTAGTTATCCATACATATTTTGGTTATTCAAAATTTCAAATCTCACGAATGTAATGTCGAATAAATAGTATAGATTTTGGACTATCAAAATGAGTATAACATACTTTCTCTAATCCTATTATATGAGGACTAAATTCATTGATGAAATTTTCGGAAACACTAATCATCTACATATGCAGGAAATTATTAATACCTCCGTCTCAAAAAAATAGTCCACATTAAGTTTTCAAATTTGTACTCAAAACAGTACAAAACTCAAAACTCAATGTGTACTATTTTTTTTGGGATGGAGGAAGTAGTTTCACGCTTAATTAAATTCGTTTGGTAATTGTCCCCCAAGAAACTCGTTTGGTAATTAAGAGAAAAGAAATGGTGCTTTAGCCTTTAGGTAAGTAAATTAAAAGGAAAAAAAAAAAACTCGGAACAAGTAAGATGCTCCATTTTTCTTCTGATTATTCACATTCTTGGAAACGGAAAATAGATTATATGGAGAAAAACTAGACAAAGTATCCCAATCAGTTTTTTGGAGTAAAAAATGCTGGCAGTTGGGACCGATTCCGATGACTTCTGGTTTGTCTCTGTCGGAGCCGCCCAAATTGGCCTTTCGCCGTGACTCACAGTCACATCCTCACAGGCGCTGAAAGTTGAGGTTTCCGCTTATGAAAAAATGGAAAGCCTTTGCATTTCCATAAATAATCAAACTTTCTTGAGATCGTGATTGACGATAAGTTCCAATACTGTTTCAAATAAAGTTCTTCCATATACGTAATACAGTAAAGAAGTGTAAGAACCCTACTTATAAGATGGCTTTATTTTCTTCTATATATGCTTTGCAAACAATGCACCATGAAAATTCTATGCTAGCCTTTGCTGACATAAACCACACCATTGAAGATCTTGCTTAGAAATTTCAACATATATTCGGATGAAGTCTGGCTCAAGAAAGACATCCATAAAAGAAATACTGTAAGGTTCACATTTTGCTTACTTAAAGAGCTACACATCTTCATCAATTTTCATATCCTTTGAGATAAAGTATGTTTCTCCCCCAGAACCAATACTACTGACTCACAAGGAGGCAGATTTTGACAGTTTCCGTTTCGCCCCTTCATCAAAATTATGGAGCAAAGAAGGAATAAAAGAATGAATCATATCATATTCTACTTTGGGCTAACCAGCACAATAGCCCTAACTTTTGATATCAATGGAAACTTAAGGCACTGAGTGCCCCTAAGATTAGCAACCTTGCTGGAAAGAAAAACACTACAACCAGATGCAATCGTTGCGACACAACTAGGTTACTTATTTTCTTAATAGATTCCCCGGCCACACTGTGTATGACTCCAGGATTGATGAGACCACTCGAGGACGCTGCCAACAGCCGCCACCAATCCCTGTACTGGTTTTCTTGTTCACTCTTCATTCGTTCTTCCTCTTCCTCAATCACGTTTCTCACAGATTTCAAGTACGAGCCCATGTCATGATCCCTTTGGATGGTTCCCCCGGAACCATAGGCACCTCGATCGCTCAGTATGTCAAGAGGGTGCGGTGAGTTTAAGAAGACAGCTTTTGCTGCTTGAATCCGTTTTTCAGCATCACCAGCCGAGCAGGTCATTAAATACAGACCACTCCCAGCAGGAAGCAAATCATGGCTAGGCGAAAATGTTTCATCTGGCTGGAGGATCAGGAACTCCCCCATGGGAGCATACAGCAATTTCTGTTAACAGCAAACAGCATTTAGTCTTTACCATTTTATAACAAGGGCAATGTGATTTTAAAGGAAAGGCAGAGCAAAAGTTCAGAGACAGAGCAACTCTTTCTCCTTTTATAAATATAAACAGAATTGCTCCATCTCCCATTATTTGCTTAAGCAATAGGGATTCCCTTCAAAGAAACAACCACTGGCAAGGAACTAGAACTATACCTGATTCGCAAGACATGGAAGACTACGGAAGTTCCCATTCACCGCTTTAAGAAATTCAGCGACATGGTTAGGGTAATTACAAGAGAAAGCACGAGGAACAATGTCTCGGTGCATGGTAATCGCTTTGACATGACTTCGAGGCAATCCAAGCTTCTCAAGCAAAGTATCCCCTCCACACATCACAGTAGGTGCTCCGAATGTTATAACAGGCAGTAAAGAAGAAGACGGAACCTCTCCTCTTATCAATAACATGAGATTTATGAGCAATGACAAACTTCCACCAAGAGAATGCCCAGTGAAACGGAGACTTGCTCGCTTGCCATGAGATTTTAGGTGCGAACGAACTTCGGGCAGCATCTGTTCATAGATCCCCTTTGCAGCCTCGTATATACCTCGATGCACAAGCACATCAAATCCCTAAACACGAAGATGCATCCATATTACACAAAGAAGTAATTCAACAAAAGGCTGAAGTCCATCAAGAAAAAAGATAAAGAAAGTGACTCTCACTCCATCAAGAAAAAAGATAAAAGAACGCGACTGCAAAATAAGTCTCTTTTCTGGAAGCATTCATAATATAATTACCTCAAACTTCACAGGTTCGAAGAGTAAGTTGGCTTGCCATGATGACATCGATTCCGATCCCTGGATAACAAAAAATCTCGTGGCATTTTGATCATCATCACAGATGAACCACTCGCACGGCGAAGAAAGCACTGAGTTGAGATCATCTGCAACAGCTTGTTTAACTTCCTCTTTGGCAGCAACTACTGCAGTGACCGAGTCAGGGGATGCCATCATTGAGGCTGCCACCTCATCAGTGCTTCCAGTTGTACTATTGGGTACATCTTGGGTGGCTGACTGGTTTCTAAAAGGAAGAATGCTCATGGTGCGAGAGTGCAAATAAGAAGCAGCTGAGGCAGCAATTTGATAAGCAGCAGCAGCACTTATCCGACTTGCTCTGACTTTCTCCTCCTCAATTGACTCGAGATGATGCTCAGCCCCCTTTCCATCAACATCTTCATTGGTTGAATTTGCATCACTGGTTGATTCATCTTGTTCCTCATTTTGGCTATTGGCCGACGATGCCTTCTCTTTATCAGCCTTTATCCTTTGTTCTCTTTTTTCCACAGATGAAGTTACAAATCGAAGTCCAAAATCTTTGAGAAGATTACCGGGCTGCATTTTACGTTACCACAACAGCAATCAAGCTTAAATGCACACAAGAATGAATGAAATAACACTTCAAAATTAACAACGAATCATCATAGAGTTCCATTAAAACTACGAATGATAGAAGAAATGCAATGTAGGACCAAAATGACCCATCACAAAACAACCCACTAATAACAAAAAAAACGTAGATTCATAGACATTCTTACAATCTCCTAACACATTAATTACCATCGGAAAGCACAATAACATGAAAATTAGAGGCACAAGAATCATACATTTACATTCACATCAAACTTGGATCACTGTTCCCTCTTGTTGAACACATATTTCTTTAGGCAATAAAAAGGCATCCAAAACAAGCCCAAAAAGGGGAAAAAAAAAATCCAGCTCTCCCCTAATGGCATAAATCATTCAAACACAAAGCAAAATCATCATACGAGACATGGAATATATTCAAACTGGGATTCCTTTCCTCCTCCATGCTCCCACACTTACACATTCCACACATCACGAAAGAACTGAAAAAAACATAAGGCTATACATGACCTCGATCATGCGCAAACAACCTCCTAAACAGTAACCATTCCAGAGCACAAAAGGGGACTATAGATAGATATACACATGATCATGGCTTTGAACACACATCCCACATGGACGGGGTGTTATTATCAAACAGTAAACTACTCAAAAAGAAGTAGAAAAGAGATAAATCTAACCTTGATTTGGGGTACTGAATAAGCCAAGTTTCCTAAATCCGACATTTGAGCATACAATCTAGCTTCAGCCAATGAAACTCTCTTCAGCAACTTCGTAAAAGAATCTTTATCAAAACTAATTTTTTCATCATCATCACTATAATTCACTGCACAACCTTCACAACCCTCCCTAACACCGCAGCTGGCCTCTGTTTTCTGTTCATTACTTTCATCGTTATCATCTTCTTCTTCCTTTGCATCTTTTTCTTCTTCCAATACCTCCCCTCCTCCTCCTCCAATCCGTACGTTCAAAATGCTGAAGATCGAATTCTTCCCTTTATTCCCTTTTTGGCTATCATCTACCCGATCATCACCTCCTTCTTCTTTCTCCTCTTCTTCCACCAAAACGGCAGCTTCCTCCACAGCCAAAGCGACGTCGTAGCTACCCTTACCACCAGCTCCTCCGCCGCCATTGGGCCACAAAGATCTAACCGGCGGGAACCGGAAAGAGAACCCCCAATTCCTCCCGGTCCCAATGGCGCCCGTCGCCGACGAGGAAGAAGACCGGACGGTCATCTGAGATGATGAAGAAGGATTCACACTCGCAGCCACCCGGGATTCCAAACAACTGGACCCAGATACCGGGATCGATGGAGCCGCCGGCAGCCCGGGAATCCCCATCTTCAAACACAAACCATCCATTCCTTGGAATCCCTTTATTTCCAGCTCCTTGTGACTTAATTGGGTTTTCTTTATTTTCCCAAAACAGAATCCTGCTTTCCTTGAAAAATGGTAAGAATTCGGTTTCTGTACTTTTTAACAGCTCTTTTTCTGGTTGCTTTGGGTGAGAGATTGGTGGCCAACTTTCTTCTTCTCCTCCTTGTTCAACTCCCTTTCTTCTTCAAAAATCTGATTTGATTTGAGATTTTCTTTTACTCTTTCTCCTCCTGAATGTTTGTTTCTTCAGCCGTTGAAATTGATTCTTCTTTCACGTTCTTTGGATTTCCTCTTTCTTTCTTTCTTCTAATTCTGAACTTTCATTGTCAGCAGCGATTTTTTCGGTTCATCGACGGGTTTTAAATGAATCCCTGTTTTCGTGGAACCATTAAAATATCATTTTTACAAGACGACGTCGCATCGACTTAATTAGGGAGGGGGATTTCCTTTTGCGTACTAGTACAATTTTTGGTCAACTAATTTTTGCACAGAAAGACTATTATTTTACTTTTCTAAGGTAAGTATGCTAAGTAATTAAGATACTAACTTTTGGGGTGTAAAACATTTAAGACAACTTAAATGAACTTGTTTATAGTAATATGACTGTTTATTAATTTTCGGTTAAATTTTTTTCCATTTACAATTAAATATTTATAACATATTAGTACTTCCATTGTCTCTACACTATATAAAACTTATTTTCGAACGAATAAAAGAATACCGTAATAAGAGAAAAATTCAAAAATAAATAGAGTATTTGGTACAAAATAATACTACGAATTTTATTTAAATTAAATCTCCTTGTCATTACTTGAAATGGGATCGATCGATCGCCGACCAATGCTGGAATTTGATTTCATAGATGAATATTATATGTATCAGAGATTTGGTTGGGTGACCAACTTGAATAAAATACTTACTAAGTTGTGATTAATAAATTAATTATATTAAAGTTATGATTAAGAGTATTAATCAAGTCACTTAAAGTTACGCATCCATTTTCGGAAAAAAGAAAATGAAGAACTTCGATGTTAAAAAGGTCACGGATTAATATAAAAAAAGATTAAGCATTAAAAATACTAGTAGTATAAAAACTTATATTTTATTTTTTTTAGAAACGGATAAATAGTTTAATTATGACATGGAATTCCTGCGTAGTAAACAATACTTTTTCATTTGTTTAATGGAGTAGAAAAACAAAAAGAGCGTGTTGTGTGTGTGTGTGCATGTACGTGGTGGGGTTCTTGACAACTTGACAGAAAAGCAGATGAGAATGAGATGAATCATCCTCCTGAACTCAGAACAGTCTTTGCCACGTCAAAAACTCTCAAGTTTTATCGATATAATATGAAGGAAAGCAGTGTGGGTCCAAAGGTCCAGGGGGCCGTGGGCCATACCCCATGGATACGGATCAACTGTATACTACAACAGGAGGGAAGATAGATTCATGGATTGCGTGACGTGCCTGTGAATCACTCTCTTCTGTTCCTTCCTACTCTTGCCAACTTTGAAAAACAAAATCATGTTATATTTGATTATTTTCCATCAATAATAATTACTAATTTCCTCTTGAATTGTAAGTACCTCGGTAACCATAAGAATTTGTCTCAGTGATCACTAGCATGTTATGCTAGGCCATAAGTAGAGGAATCGACGCTCCTTCACTTTTCCTAACCCATTCACATCTTACATATTGTATTTTATTGTAGGAGTCTCACCCTATGTGAGACAAGATATACGTAATTGTAGTATTTAAAAAAATAGTACCTCAGTAATAATAAGAGTAAAATATCATTATATTTTTTCTGAAATATTTAAGTCATCCTATTCCTCAAGACTGATTCATACACTAGATTTATTATGTACGAGTAATTTATATTACAATAGAATTTTAACTTGGACAACTATTTCGACAATCAGAGAATAGTTTTCTTTTAGAAATAAAAAATAAATAAAATAAAATTAAAGGTTATAATTGGTCCTGCCTGCCTGTGTGTGTCCAACCAAATATGACTCGAAAAAGTTCCACACGAACACGTTTCAAGTCAAGCACTGTGTTTTGACATTCCACGTTACGCTGTTCCACCACGCGCCCTACCCAGCCTTGTGGGCTGCCAAGTAGCTTTTTATTAGTTCGTTCCTTAAGAGTTTGTTCCTTAAGGAGAGAAAATACTTCACGGAAATTGAAATGTTGACATTAAGAACCAACTAATAGACTAATAATAATAGTGACACACAATGGTTTGGTAAATTTAGTTGTCCTCCTCCATAATAATTGGAAGCTTGATGTTAACCAACAAAAGATCAGGCTGGTTTCCTTTTTTGTCCTCATTTAATGCGGTAAAGATTGTTGAAAGAAACCTCAATCTAAAAGATGTTTTGATTTTACACAACTGGACCTCAGATCCTCAGCCCGGACCCGGGTAACCGGCCACCTGAATCATCCTTTCTGGAATTATTGGGGACTGGAAGAATTTTTTTAGTTTTAAATTGATTTTAATACTATTATAAACATGACAATCATTCTGAATAGAAATATATAAGAATCCGCAGGTTATACTATCTACGTCACAAAGGTTAAATAAAAATAGTATAGTAGTAATACTAAAATCTCTTTACATATATTCCAATAAAATGTCACGACACTGCTTGATCCGTTGAACATCCAAATAACTACTATGATCTACTATGAGTAAAATGTGTCAAAGCGTACCAGCCCAATCTGTATTTCGGTTAGAGGTCCAAAATATCCAACGCTAAGTATACCGTAGTACCAGCCCAAATGGATGGATGGATTACAACAAAAAAACATCTCATTTCCCCACCAAAAAAAACACTACTTTTGAACCCAACAGGTCCTAAAAGAATGCTAAAAAACCTACAAATGGCTCTCAATCCTGATGTCTTTTTCCTTAAAGATACCGTACACATGATTGTTACAATTAAACCAGCACCAGGTGATGAAGATGAACCCTCTTTTGGTTAAGATCAAATTTCATGGTTCATATCAACCGAGAATTGCCTTGATCTGTTTCTTCTGCTCCTCAGTTAGTGAAGTTGGGAACAATACCTCAAAGGTTATGTAGAGATCGCCTTTCTTGTTGCTAAAATGCAAGGGCATACCTTCACCTTTGATTTTCCTAACCTCCTTTGGCTTTGTGATTCCCTGAGAAGTTGGAAGGTAAAAATTCAGGATTCCACCAGAACGTGTAGTCAGCTGGAAATCAACTGACCAATTTTACTAACATAAATTCAAAGCATTAGAAGTATTTTTTCCCCTCACCTTTGTACCGATTTCCACTAAATGATCGTCAAGATGTTTGATGGTTTTCTCGAAACCAACAAGAGCGTGTACCTATGGAGTTTTTTTATTTACAAAAAAAAGAAAAAGAAAAATGCTTATAAGGCTAGGAAATTCCAAATAATGTCAGATGCCAGAAACAGAACAAAATCATGAATAAACAAATGAATCATTAACAACTTTTGTATCCTTCTACATAGCAGTACCACAAGATTCATAGTGGCTAGGGTCAATGCTTTTTCCTTTAGTTTAGGTCACCTTAAGTTGCAACTTCACTTCCTACAAGATTTTGGGCACATCATCTTCATAGAGATTGAGATGGATTCAGTCATTAATTACACATAGAGGCATGCCTAAGCTAGGAATCAAGGCCTTAAGGTAGAACCACAAAATCTCACAAAAATAACTAGGATCCAAACATGCTACACCAATAATTAAGATCAGAGAGCTGCTCTGGTCAGTCTTTTCGAGGTAATTTGCAGATATAAGTGTATAACCAGGAAAAAGATGACAATTCCAGCAAGAGGGAATAGCAACTCTCAACCATCTAACCTAACTTTACAAATGATAATAACAAAAAGTTTATGGAAATAGTGAATTGCTTTTGGCTAAATCTGCGAAATTTTGGTTATAAAGTGACACAAAAAAAAAAAAAAAAAAAGTCAAAGTACGTTGAGAAGGTCACAAGTACCAGGCTAATAGTAACAGTCGTGTGAAGATCATTGCCTTCCCTTCTGAAGACATCATGAGGTGCAGTACGAATGCGAAACTGCAAATAATTACATAAGATAACAATAAGCATAATAGTCAATGAATTGGTTTATTCAGATAAAATAAAGCAAGGACAACAACGCCTCAATCCCACAACAAGAGTTAGAATCATACCTTCAGATCTCCAGGTTCACCATCAATTATTGGCTCACCATCCTCATAAAACACTACTTCCTGTTACAAGAGCATATGATATTACATTTGTAAATCAAGTCTATATGAGTTCTATAATACTGATGCAAAAAGTAGACAAAAGCCAAATGATTTACCTGACCATCTTGCATTCCTTTCTCAATATCCACAGTAACAAAATAACCCTCTCTTTCGTACTTCACATTGGGGCATTGTTCGCACACCTGGTATAAACATCAAAGTACAAAAGAAATCCAAATATGAGTACACAGAAGAGATAACTCAACCTTGAAAACGGCCATCAATCATAAAGTATAGGTTAGGCAAAGGGACAATCGCAGGCTTGCCACAGATCATGGCGGTTATTAGCCGTTGCTTACCTGCTCGGTCATTTGCTGAAACATGCCTGGACCAATTTGTCTGTGATAGACTTCATTCCGGCAGTTGCATCGCCTCTTACCAGGGGCCGGCTTTATGACATTTTTCTCCCTCCATACCTGATCACATCGGTCAGTAAATGAGAAAGTCAGTGGATAATCAATAAAATTGATATAAATGTATTATACAATTATTGTGGCCCTTAGCCAACCAATCAACGTTACAATTTAAAACGGCTGATGCATCATGTAGATGATTCAAGAGGATTTTCCTCATGAGTATCCAGAAGCTCGAAATGCACACTTCAGTAAGTCCATAGCACCAGTAAGCACATACATCACCAAAGAAATGAATTACCTTCAATGAACCTCCCATGTACAAATCTTCCAATCTCGCATCCAAATCAACAATTACATCATCTCCTTTCACAACTTTTTCTTCTTCTTCTTCCATTGAACCCGTACCAAAAAACCTAACAGTTCCAAAAGAATTTTCAGCAAAAACCAAAAAGTAGTATGGCTTAGCATCAGCCGTGATTCAGGAGAAACAATATTTCCAGGTTCAAAAACAGATAATCAATCATGAATAAAAAACGCAGCAATCAAAACACCAGCAAAATCATACCAGGACATGCAAAACATTTTTCTAATGAACCAGAAAAGAAAACTCTCGCAGCTCACAACAATTTATTTTATTCTAACTACAAGTCGACAACAAGACTAATCTATCCCTTTTTTTGGGTAGTCAAACATAAGGATCGTCATATCCAGCCAAAAAATTGAATGGCTTTGTAACCGCGGTTTCATGGCTATTACCAAAAAACAATTCAATTAGAGCTGATACAATAAAAAAAAGTAGATGGGCTTACTGGCCAAATATATCTTGAATGTTCATCCCAGGACCTCTGGAACCACTGGCAGCATGCTGTTTAAGGCCTTCCTCACCATACCTATCGTATATATTCCTCTTTTCACTATCTGACAGCACTTCATAAGCTGTTCAAATGACAAAACTTATATACATCAACACAAATCCTACAAAAACTAATATTATCATTTCTGACATAACTACAACATCGTAGAGATATAATCACATTAACAGAGTTATAGACATTGGTGAACTTTACCATTGCTAATTTCAGCAAATTTCTTGCTAGCTTCTTGGTTCCCTTGATTTTTGTCCGGGTGATACTTCAGTGCAAGTTTCCTGTACGCTCGTTTAATCTGCTCCTCCGAAGCACTTTTCGGCACTTGCAGAAGGTCGTAATAGCTCTTTCTGGTTTCATATCCAATGCAAATTCAATTCAAACAATAATCAAAATCTTAAAAACTTAAATGCTTAAATGAATAACCGAAAAACACAATCGAAGAAATTAAAATGATAGTCGGCAAAACATACGCAGCAATGGCGGAAAGTACAGAGAAGAATAACAAGCAGGACAGCAACAACAACAATCTCCTTCTCTCGTACGCCATGCTCGTCACCTCTCGCGGCAGATTAGCAAGCCAGCGAATGGGAACGAATTTGTTGATTCAATATCTCCCGCTCGAAATCTGGTTATTTGATCTGAAGATATGAGATCAGGTGGAACTGATGGGAATGATCTAGATGGAAATCAAAATCGAAAAATCAATTTTATTCTAATTGTGCCCTAGCTTCGTGTTTGATTTTCTGTTCGAGACTGGAAATTGAGCAAGAAGGAGAAGAAGGGGGAAAACTGAAAAGCTACTTCGGAGAACACCAAAAAACGTGTTTGTGAGTAAACTGACCAATTAGAAAGAACTTCCACTTGTTTTCACCAATCATCCTTCGCCACGTGGAAAACCTCCTTTTGTTCTTCGTATATATTCCAATTAAAAGTACTATGTCCTCCTCTTTTCAGTTTTTAGTAGATTCCAATATTAAAAGAGTTAATATCAAAAACACCCCAAGATATAATTGATTATGCAAAAATCTTTTTTCTGTTTGAAAATATACTGTATTTAAAAAATTCTTATGTCGACAAGTCAATTATCCGAAAGGTTGTTCAGCGACTGAAAATTGATGTTTGTACTTGAACTCAGCCAAAAATATTTGTACCCCATAAAAACTTTCCTCGAATTTTTTAGAAATTCTAATAAGATTAAATATCAACTTTTAAATTCAAAAGTCGATTTTTTACGAGCCCTTAAAAGCTGAATTTTAGATTTAGAAATGAATACTTAATTTCATTAGAGTTTTAAAAAAATTATGGATGGTTTTCTTCGACACTTTTTTATTGAATTTATGTGCATATATTAATTTTCAGTCGTCAGGACAATATTTTAATAATTGACTTGCCAATTAAAGGATTTTTTTGATATTTTTTAAATAATAAATGTATTTTAGATAGAGAAAATGAGTCTTTTCATCCCAAAGTTTGGGCTACACTATCCAAAACATTCCAAAGTTTAAGAACATGCCATTTACATCCCAAACTTTTTAAAACCATGATACATTAGGATATTCGTTAAATTTTTAACTTCAGTTAGTTAATTAGTGGTGGTACTTTATTCTGTTTCTCCTCTCCAAATTCTTTTAATCATTTAACACGTTCCACTAACTCCCACCTTATAAGAAAATAGCTAAACCTAATTTGGGTCTTCACATCATCCATTCTTCTCTTGCTTAGAAAAAGGGGAAAAAAAAATCTAAGATTCACCTTCTAGATTGATAACAATCATGAGAGGTTTTGTGTGTGTCATAATTAGAAAGTAAGCCCTATTTCATTTTTTAAAAAATATATAGCATCAATATAAAAATTGGTGTTGTAATTGATGCAGAGGCATGTAACTTTTTTGCTTGGTAACCAAATTTACCAAACGCAAGCATGAAACTTTTTTGACTAAAAAAAATGGGGGAAAAGAAACTGAATGAAATATCACCGTTAATAACTTGAAAAAAATTAACAAATGTCTTAATTTACATATTTTTGAAAAGTTTAGGATGAAAATGGCATGCTTTTAAACTTTGGGATGTTTTAGATGGTGTGACACAAACCTTGGGATGAAAAGGTCCATTCTCCCATTTTAGATAATGAGTTAAACCTCTTTTTGATATTAATTAACTCATATTAAAAAGCCATTGACATTGGTTATCATTTTCCCAAGGTATTATTAATATGTGTATGTTGTACTTTATTTTATTTTTTAAACCAAAACTTCAATTAAAAACAATCTAAAGTGTAAAAATAAAAATGGTTATTTTTGTCTTAAAAAAATAAAGATGGTTATTTTTGTCATGTATATACATCTTTAAATCGTTGTAATGGAATTTCTGCCATCAATCTTCAAAGCATAGTTATCAAATCGTGATACGTATCGTGTATCGAAAACCCAAATTTATGATATGCGTATTGTATCGTGTATCGTATCGTAAAATAAGTTTTAATATAATAAAAAAAATATATATAATAATAAATATCGTAAACTCCATATGTAATTAATATATTTATATTTTTAGTTATAAATAAATAAATTAATTAAGTTGAATTCAAGATTATTTGAAAGTTACAAAAATTACTCATTCATTATATGAACAATGATCGTAAAACCTATGTAATAAATATTATTTTTCATACTATCATACGATACACCATCGTATTGTATATCGTACGATACGTATCGGTAATTGACCGATACACAAAAGATTGTGATACACACCATGATTTGTATCGAAATCCTTGATTTTGATACATATCGTGCAATACGTATCGCGTACGATACTTACTACTTATCAAATGTAAGTGTACTTTATAACCTAAAGAACTAAAAATGTTAATGTAAAATCGAAGAACATCACATAATAGAATAATCTACAGTATATCTCTTAATTATGATTTGATAGGTGATTTCAATGTCCCCAAACGAGATGAAGGTTAGATTAGTGTTTTGAGAATGGGTTTATCATAATCCAAATGGAGGATGTGTTTATCCAATGTTCTTCCTTAGCTTAAACAAAAGGTTCTGCCAAAATAAAGCACCTAGGACAAATTTAATGTGAAATTACATAATTATACACCTTCAAAATGTCACACTTTTCATTGACTTTTCAGTTTTGACCTTTCGCAGCCTTCCCTGAAATCCACAGCCTTCCTCCGCCTTGCGACTGCCCAAGGAAAAAAGCATAATCCAAAAAACCTCTCAATCTTTATTCTCATACTTTTTGCCTTGCACATAATTTCCCCAATTCTGCGAAAGATAAAATTTTTTCTTTCTTCCCCTCTCTGTATTTCCTTCTTTATATCACTCATAAACAATATTTTTTGTATGAAGAAAATCAAATAAATAGTTTGTGATCTTTGATATGGTTGATAAAATTTCAAACTCGGTGTTGCAAACAATCAAGGTGGAACATAATAGTACATGTTTGTAACAATTACGGAATAATTTTTCTCATTTTTATACATTCTTTTTTTTGCAAAATCAGAGATCATCATGATTTTCCTTTTCCAAAATCTATGTCATTTTCTCTCTATCTTGGAAGCAACTCATATCAAATTGGATGGGTTTTGATTATAGCTTATTGGTGGATAGTGGAATTAACCTTACCTATCTCTAAATTTCTCTACTCTATTTGAAAAATTGAGCAATTTTCCTTGAACTTGGAGGTTCCAACAACGGGTTAATTAGAACAAACACACGAGAGATCTAAAAATCCTTCACTAATGGTGCTATAAAGAATTGATTTAGTTGCAGCGGTTGAGGCGAGGGCCAAGAGCGGTTGCAAAAGACGATGATTAAATTGAATGGCAGCGGCGGAGGTTATGGAGGACCGGCAAGTGGGGCTGGCGAAAGAGGATGATGGGATGTGTACTTCATTTTTATGATGGATAATTTTGTCTTTTCACCTTAAAGTTTGTTTTGGATGTCTGAATTCGTTTTGGCAGAATCACTGGAAGAGAAACAGATGAGTATTGAGTTACTTCTACACATTTTTTTTCTTTGCTTCTCCCCTTTTTGGGCCTGAGGATAATAATTTCATTGGTTGTAGACTAATATGTTTCGGGCTATGTATGGAACTATTTAGTTTCAAGTACGATGAAGTAATTGGGCTTCCTATAATATGCGCTCAAGAAATCTAACACAATTGCCGTAAATTGCACCGTATCCAGTTGTGGCTGCACATTTTCCAGTCTTGGTCAGTCAAAATGTCGTAGTTTAGACTTTTGATTATCGCCTCTGGCCCGATTCATCATCATTTGTTTCTCAGCTTGTTGTAGAGGATTTCCAATTCCAACACCAGAATGAAAGTTTATTTTATTTTCTAAAATAAAAATATATCCACCCAATCATTATTGTAGAGTGCTAAATATGTGATGAAAACCCTTAAAAAATATATATATTCATAACAGCTGTGAAAGTAGATAATAAAATAAGCCACTATTATCCATATTGAGTTTTTTGTATATGAATTCATAAGATTGATGAATAATAATGGATTGAGATGTAAATTGTAAAAGTAGCCTTAACAGAATACAATAATCTTATTTGGCTAATTTATTGGTTTGCCTTTTGTCTTATTTTACCTCTTAAAACACCTATCAAACACACCTCTCAAACTCAATACTACCCAAACAACTTTTTAATTTACTTTTTGAAATTTATTTCAAACAATATTTTTATATAATTTTTATCCGCAACCACCGGACCGCCGCCGCCGGACCGCGCATTGCCGTTGGCGACCGGTCGGCCGGATTCCAGCCGGTGGCGGCGGTGGTCCAGAGGTGGTGTAAAAGTATTATTATTTTATTTAAAATATCACCCAAATAATTTTTTAAATTTTCTCTCAAACCACATTTTAAATCACATATCAAACTCAAAACAAAAACTAAACCAAAAATAAAAATAAACCATTGTCCAAACAAGCCCTCAAGTAATTTTCCTCGGGATTATTTGACTATAGTACTTGGATATGTAAATTATTGACGTACTAAATTGATAAGTAGCGAAATCGTTAACACTCAATTGAAAAGATTCATTCAAGTTAGAATGTGACATACGCAAATAAAAAATATGAGAAGAAGAATTAAACTCGTGTTTGATCAAGACACATGAAAACAGCCCAAACGTTGATAAAGAGGTTCCGCAACCGAATGAAAGAGGGGGGCGTACTTGTTTACAATCACTCTCTCAATCCTTCCAAATTTAATTGTTGAAAATGTCAAGGAATGCAACTGTTATCGTTCCAATTATTGTGGAACTTCCTTTTCTTTGCGTGATAATGGAATTATTACTAGCGTTTGATTTAAACAAAAAAAAAAAAAATATTGTGGAACAAAATATTTGGTTTGGTTATATGATTGAACTGTTCTGAAACACGTTTGTAAATGTATATAATTTTGGTACATAGATTAGAGAAGAAAAAAAAAAGACAAAATGTTAATGAAAGTGAAAATGAAGACGAGCTATATTGTTTTCAAAAAAAAAAAAAAAAGAGCTATACTATCCACTGTACGTGTGATATAGGGAAGGGCGTATGCGAACAAAATGAGTTGCAATTTTCCAAAATCAGCCCGTTAATGAACATGAACCATAAGGTTTGACTCCGTCCCAATAATAGACCAGTTTCTTCCAAAGCCACAAACCTGAAAATTACTGACCCAACTCCCACCATCTACCAGTCAGCAAAATGCCAAGTCGTCGTCTATTCCCTCCATTTCAAAATATAAGTCACTTTAGACTCTACACGTAAACTAAAGAGACAATTATTCAACAATTAATTTATGTGTTAACTGTTTTATCCTTCATTATTCATGCTGGAACTATAAACAAGATTAAATGAAAACATATTAGCATCATTTATTAAGGGTAAAGTTGAAAAAAAAGTCATTAATTTGCCTAGAATTTATAAAACGACCTACATTTTGAAAAATCTCTCCAAACCTAAAATGACCTACAAATTGAAATGGAAGGAGTATTGTCATAAAAGAAACAAATGCCTTGCACCTTAGCAAATTATCGGATATATTATTGTAAAACATCAAGAGACTGTATGATTTTCGACGGCGGAGTTTCAAAACGTTGCAAATTTCTTGTTGCAGCATGTCTAAAAAAATCAAAGTTTTGCTCTCGAAGTATACACTTATCTTTTATTTCAAAAAATGCGAATTCAATTCAAATATTTTCCTGAATAGATATGGAGAACATGTTTTTACTAATCTATCCTTTGTATTTAGTCATTTGTGTTTAACAATGAAACCAAATGATGAGGAGGACAACCTAGAAGGCTATAAAAGAGCTAGACAAGAAGAGAAGTGACAAAAGGAAGCAAATGGTATAGTACGTACTACGTACCACATGGTCCAATGTCCATATTAAAATGGGACAAAAGCCAACCAGGTGGATGCGTACATAGAGAATATAAATGTGCCAGAACGGTAGATGGATAATAAGCCATATTGTCATAAAGAGCCCGATCAAAAATTAACCAATTATTAAGTCAAGTGATTCGGAATATTTTGGCTCCGTTTGGTTCCTTATTTTGATAGTTTTTTTTTTTCAGAATTTTAATTAATAATTGTTCAATATAATCATATCTTTTTACATTTTCAATATAATTTTTTATATTCTTAATAAAAAAATATAAAAACTCAAATTTAGAAAAAACACACCTTTATTCCTTGAACAGTGCTAATATATGGAGTCATCAGAATTCGAGTTTCCCTGTCTATAAAGTATAAATCATTGTCGAGATCAATTTTTTTTTCCAAAAAACTTATTAGAGTACTTCCATTTCAAACGAAGAATAAACATTAAAATAAATGTAAGATGTGATATATGCGACGGCTTAAAATGATTCATAAATCGTACTACTAAAATGAGCCCCAGAAATGGACATAGAGCCCGAATTTAAGGAGGCAGCCTAGTAAGAAAGCAACGTGATGAACTGGAAAATTATGGTAAAAATGTGGTAGGAAATGAAAGAATGTATGTATGAATCGACGTGGGAGAATATGGAATCTCCGTTCCGGGTTCAGGGAGGCTCTCGACGGTGAATAAGCCACGTCATTCGTCTTCCCTTTTCAAGCCCTCGTGGCATCATCTTCCACCAGATAAAATTTAAAAAAATGGACAAAAATACACACTCCCTAGTCCCTAGCTCTAGCTACGTCATTACAAAAAACACACAGTCACACACTTAAAAAAGGTCGCGTGCTTATATTATATAAGAACTTGATAAATGATTAGCAATTTGTTGTGTTCTTTATAGGTTAGAGACTTTCGAGAGCCATTTACATTTTAGTGATAGAGAAAGAAACTGACATATTATGCATACATTGCATGCAAATCTTTTGTAATATATTGTAGGCATTATTGCTAGCTGTTGTCGTCGATTGATATCTCCGGCGACGTAAGGCCGAGAAAATGGGAAGAGCGCCGTGTTGTGAGAAGGTGGGGCTGAAGAGAGGGCGGTGGTCGGCGGAGGAAGATAAACTTCTGATCAACTACATTGAAGCCAATGGTGAAGGTTCTTGGAGGGCTTTACCCAAGAATGCTGGTATGTGTTCAATTTTTTCCTCATCTCTTTTTCACTTTTTAGTTAAAAATTTGTACTAAAAAAAAAAAAAAATGGAAAATAATTTCGGGACGGACCAAGTCCTTCTAAATCTACATTTTTAATGTTGGAATCTGAAATTGCGAGTAAATTAAATTGTTATGAATTTTTTTTTATTTTTATTTTTTTGCAGGTTTGCTAAGGTGTGGGAAGAGTTGCAGACTGAGATGGATTAATTACTTGAGGTCGGATTTGAAGAGAGGGAATATCTCTGCTGAAGAAGAAGAATTGATCGTCAGGTTGCAAGCCACTCTAGGCAATAGGTCAGTGCTGCTTACTCATGATCTAGAGTGTTCAAACAGTTAATTTATTAGCAAAATATAAGAGACAATTATTTACTCTTTGATATGTCTCCATCTCAAGTCAATCATTTTGATTACATAGGTGGGCTCCTGCACGTTGGTGTATTGAGTTTTCAACCATTCGATTTTCCGGAGTTGGGGATTTTTTTTGCATTAATTAACTTTTCTAAGGAAAATGGAGGTGGAATTTCTGAATAGTTGTTGTAAATTCTACCAAGTACAAATTGAAGATAAATCTACATGTCTAAACTGATAAAATAATAAAATTGTGTTTAAAATTAATTTAGGGAAAAAGGAAGAACACTATTTTTTTAATTATAATTTCTTACTTTATTTTTCTTTTCGTGAAAGTGAGGGGGCTTAAATGCATGCTTGAGCAGTACTAATATTTTTCATTTTTTTCCCTGGTCCAACAATAATATTTAGAAGTACAAAAATAAAATAATAATATTAATTGTAATTATTTCTTCTTTTTTTTTTAAAATCAAATGTAATATATTTTCAGGTGGTCATTGATAGCGGGACACCTACCAGGTAGAACAGACAATGAAATTAAGAATTACTGGAACTCTCATCTCAGTCGAAAGATTCAGGGTTCTCAAATTTCCTCCGATCAGAATCAGGCCGGCGAAAGTTCTAGTCTCTCATCGGGAGATTCGACCACCACAAAGGCCACCGGACAGAAACGGAAACACAAAGCCCCTGTCAAGTCCGCCGCCGCCGGCGGTCGAGCCGGATCTAAATCTCGACAACCAAATCATAAGAAAAAGAAGCCGATCAGCACTTCCGATAATACCGACCATCCATCGTCGTCGGAAGAACCTTCTTCAGAGGCACCGGAAGTGGATAAAAATGTTCAAGAGGCCATTTTCGATGACATAAATTTTACGGGTCCAGACCCACTCGCCGGGGATGAGTTAAGTCCGTCAAGGAGTATTTCCGGAGATCATATGTGCAGCTCAAGTTCCAGTACCACTGATTCTCGGCCTCTGGGGAGGGATTATGATCAGAAGCAATGCACTTCCGAGTTCACGTCTTTTGAGGATTTGCTAGCCGTTGATTCTGCTGATCGTCATGGTTTGATGGATATTATGGATTGTGATTTTGACGGAGACCGGAATAATTGGGATATTGATAATGACGACGGTGCCGATTTAGCGGCTGTTTTTAATGTGGAAGCTCAGGACATGCTTTCCTGGTTATGGGATTTCGATGACAGTATTAGTGCCGGCCTTGATGCCGGTGCCGGCGTTGGAGATCTTGAATATGGAAACGTGCCGACGGCAGCGGCGGCAGCGAGGGTTGATGAAAAGCATGATGCTATGGTTGCCTGGCTTCTCTCTTGAGCCTTGACTTTTTTCCTTAGATACGTCATCTTTGTCTTTGGTACGGGGTGTTTTTGTCTTTTTGTGGCTGTCTGAGGAGTTTGGAGGCTGATAATTTTGTCATGTTATGACTTGCTTTTGCACTGTTGGAAAATTAAGTCAAGATTGGTAAATAAAATAAAATCAAACAGATCCATATGTTGGTATGCCGAATCGCCGACCAAAAAGTTGCACCTCTACCCTCTGTTTGATAATCACTTAATATAGTGATTTAATTTATTTAAGTATTTAATGAAATTTAGTGTATCTGATAATTGCTATAAAAAAATTTTAATGGATTAAATGTTGAATTAATTAATTATTTATAAATTAAGTGTAACGTCCCAACATGAACCTCCCCTGTCTGAGGACTGAGTTGGTCGCATTCCCGGCTTTCGCCAGGTCTCATTAACAGTTTCAAAGTGATCAAGAGCGAGAACATGAATATTACATGCCAGGTGGACCATGTATAGGTCAAATCCTGTCTATTACATGGCTTATTTCCTCTATTTACAAGCTAGGCTCATCAGAGAGTTTACAACTCCAAAGGCACACACATTCTGTACATATATTAAACATATGCTACATTTTAAAAGTTTTAGTGCAGCGACGGCCTACCCTCACGTGGTCACATGTCTCCAACTTCTAAAATATCAGAAAAATATGTTTTAAATGAGCAATTGCCCAATGAGGCTCCACTATAAAATAAACACAGTTTTTTTGCAAGTAACCACACATTCATATACTTGATAAAGTAACACTCAATGAAAGGATACAGTTGGATTTAGATGGAAGACCAATTCCAGTCGACATAGCCAACCGGACGGCTACCACCTTCAATCCAAGTTCCCAGAATACCAGGAAGCTGTGTTGTTAGCTATTAGTCGTCAACCATCGCCCCACAATCATTCGATAGGGTATTTTTCGAGTCAATACCAATAACCTCTTAGGTCGACTAGCCGAGTGATCAAGCCCTACGCCGACTCACAACGGTATCGACTACCCAACAGGGGTGTGGATCCACCAATTCCATGCACAAATCATTCAAATACAATAGGCAAAGATGTGTACGATAAAGTATACACACAATATACCCTGAGTACCACATTTACCACAATCTGGTATCAACATTAGAAAGGCATACCGACGTGATAAAGTACACCACGACAGCCAGCACTTATACATGTTTTCGAAGATTCCAATTGTAAGTACATACCGCATCATTTAGTTACTCCATTCATTCAAAAATTAATTTACAGTGAAGACACTCACCAGGAAGCAGAGGAGTAAGCTCAGGTTCCTCTCCTGAATTCGCTCCGTAGAACAGCCCAAATTTAGTATCTTTTGATAGTTGCAAATCCAACTAGGAATTTGAAGATGTGAAAATGAAAGGAAAGGTGAAGAAGATGGTTGGGATTCCTTTAGGGGGGGGGGGAAAGAAGAGAATAAAATTAAAAAAAGGGATTAAGTACCACTTCCTCTCTTGGTTATATCTAGAACACAGTACTCCTTAATTATGTTTTTATACATAACTAACCATGGTAACTGAATCCTAGTTAAAGTAAAGGGTTGCTGGTTAATTGATTCTATCCTACAGCCGAGCATATCCTACTCCTTATTCTAGGTTCTTCCTCTTCTTTATTTCATTTCTTTATTAATCTTATATATATATATATATATATTTGGCACATAGTAATCTTAAACTAGTGATTTGGCATAGTTAAACAACCCCTAAGTCATATTCCTTAAATAAGGATTTAGGTGGTGTACCCGGGTTGACGGTCCTCACATTAAGTGCATTTGATAACTAAGATTTTACTGTTTGAATTAATTAAGTACGTCTGAATGGCCACTTCAATTGTGAGACAGAAAATAAGTAGCAGGCCTACCACTTATCACTTATCACTTAACACTTAATTTCTGTAATGATTTTTTTTTCTTCCCCCCCACCTTTTTTCCCCTCATCTTTATTTCAACGCTTATTTTTAATTATATTATTTTAAAATTTTTATTTTATTGAGATAAATTAATTAAGAATGATTAAATTTGAATTTATGTTACGAGTATAAAAAATCTCAAACTTTCAAACTCAAATTAAACTAATTTTAATACATAAAATTTGCTAAATAACAAGGTATACATATATATTGATATATGTAAATAATCTAAATTTTATTATATATTGATTACTTACCAAGTGTAATATCTACTTTCATTATATATACCAAAAATTTATTTTAAAATTATTATTTTGTTATTCAGAACAAATTATTAATTATTTTTCTATTTAAAAGAATTTTATTTACAATTCAATTTTAATTATATTAAAATTTTAAATAACTTTCAGATCTGAGTATTCAGATTCAGTTTTCAGACATCAAATTCAGACTTTTTTTTATCAAACAATGTAAATTCAGTTTTCAGAGTTCAATGTTAAGTGTTAAGTGTTCAGATTCATACTTCAGTAATTATCAAACGGAACCCTAGATTGTGTGTGTGTGTGTGTTTTTTTTGGTGGCCAAATTGATGATATTGACATGAAAATTAAGTCGTTGTTTAGTTTTAATTTTCATTCAAATATAATTTTTACTAAAAATAAAATTATAAAATGCTAATAATTTTAGGATAGAAAGAGTACAATATATAATATTATATAATAGGCTCAAATCCTAAAAAATTGAACCAATACCTATCTTTTGCAAGAAATTTCTACCACTGTACTTCGATTTCAGTTACGTTATCCTCCAATTTCGATCATTTCATCAATAATCTAATATGAGAAAATCAAGTGCTCGAATGAAACTTGAGATGCCAGATTATCAAAATTCAATAGCAAAAATTTGCTTCTTGAGAACCATGGTAAATTCTATTCATTCCTCCTTGAATTAATTACTACAAAAAGTCCTAAAAAGTTACCACCTATATTTGTTCAAAACTATAAAATTGAAATGTCTTTAAAGTCCCTCATAAAGATCAATTTTGGTTTTTATTACTTTTCCGTCGAGATTCCCTCAAAAGAATAACGGTCAACTGTTAACTTGTTGACTTGTATGAAGGACAATCTCGTCTTCTTACAATTTATTAATAAAAAACGGGCCATTATATATTGTTGGCCTTCAATATTGGGCCCAATTCGACAGATGAAAATGAACTTTCAAGGACCAAATTTATCAAATTTTATTTTATTTTTTGAAGATAAATTTTATATTTAATATTTTAAGTTTGAGCCTATTCTAAAAAAATGATAAGTTGCAATTTTTTTAAAAAAAGAAAGACTAACCCTAATTTTTTTCCTCCTCACCGGGTCCAAACTTTCTCTTTCATCCTCTACCTCCTCCATGCCGCAGCTACTACACTACCTCCATCTCCCCCACCCCAAAAAGAAGCAAAAGCATTCCATAATTTTTTAGTGACTTTCTCCGTTCCCCTCTCTCTACTACTCCCGACCCTTTCCCTTTCAATCCAAAGTCCGAACCAGATTATTCTAATGAGCAATCAGAGCACAAGCTAAGGGAGTTGGGGCTGATTTCAAATCCCGTACTCAGCACCGAATGTTCCCGATGGATTCTGTACCCTTGAGTTTGGCGAGCCTTATGGGTACATGGAAGGAATCGTCACCGATATCATTCACGATCCCAATCCCGATCCCAATCTGGTGCTCCCCTGTTGCTTTCCGCCACCTCTTATGTTACATGAAAGTTCCATTCGTTCATTGTTTCCTTTCAGATCCATCCTTGAAGGAGTTATGTTCAATATTAAGCACAAAGGATGGTAATCTAAAATTTCTATTAACTGATGATTCTGTTTGTGTTGATATAAAAGATTTGTTATGAGTTTCAATAATAGAGGAGGTGGTGATGGCGGCGTCGATTGCAGGATCTTACGATCCATCTATCCAGAATCAAGAAATCGATCTTAAATCTTATAAAATCCTTCTTTGTAGTGGAATTTAATGGAATCCTTCAAAATCGCAATCCGGGTCGTAGAATCCTATCATCTCTATACTTATACAAATTGTTGATTTAGTAAGAAAAGAGTAGAAATTAATTAGAAAAAATATAAAAGTTGAAATTTTGAGTTTGACGATACTTATGCAAGCACTAGTTTATTTTTCCTCCATAAAATCAAACAAGAATTGAGCTAATAAATTAAAACTCGTAATTTTAAAATTATTATAATATTTTAAATAGTTACGATCTTATAGATTCGATCTCACCGATCAAAAATTCGATTCGATCTATCTCACTGATCCAAAATCCGATTCCATCATGAGACGCTAAAGCAATCTTTCCGATTCCATCATGAGACGCTAAAGCAATCTTGCGTGAAATCCCGATTTTGAAAACATTGATGGTTTTTGCTTTTTTTTTTGGCTTTGATTTTAAGGTAGCAACAGCATGGTAGAGATTAAAAAAAAAATTGAGGATTTTTAATAATTATTATTACAATTATTGTTTTAAGAAAAGATGGAAAATTTTTACAAATAATTCTACTTTAGTGGTATCAGCGGCAGAAGTAAGTGATTGTGGATTTTCAAAAATTATCAACAAAAAAAAGTAAAAATTGAACAACACTTTATACTTTAGTCTTAATATAAAATAAAAGTAATATATTACATTAACATAAAGAAATTACAAAAAAGAAAAAAGTGTCCTTCTAATAAAATTAAACTTCATAGGAAGACTCAAAGACATTTGAACTTTATAGTTTCGAATAAATGGCAAGTGATTTTGCCAAAATAAAAATTAGCAAAACAATTTTTATTAAAATGCCCTCACTAGATAAGCAACTTAAATTTTATCTCTACATCCTTTTTCTCTTTATCACGTTTCACCATCTTAAAATACAATTGGCGAAACACTTTCTAATACACAATCAGAGACGGTAGTGATTTTTATATTTTTCTAACAGTTAATTCACAATACATGATTGGATATCAATTTTTTTTTTATCAAGATGAAGTTAAACAAGATTGAGAAAGAGAGTTGCTGGTCTTTTTTTTCCCTTGCCGTTTCGTGTTGGATGTTGGAATCAGAGTAGAGATCCGGATAACTAGAAACCTATTCTTTTCTTAATTAGTTCAATTTAATTTTTAATTTGTGATTGTTTGCGCTTTGAAGTCAAGGTATAGGAGACTTCGAATTTGAGTTATTTTCAAACACGGGAGGAAGTATTGAAATAGGGATTTTTTCTTTTGTGCGTTTTTTGACAGAATCATTAGCCCGAATGAATATATTTGATATGTTTTTAGGACTTTTGTAGTAATTAATTCTTCCTTCTTACACTCATTTGATTCCTTTGATCATTAGTCCTCATATATAGTCGTAATGTCACCCATCCCTCGCCATCCTTCCAGTACAATCATTGCTGTTCGCTGACACTGTTTATATAACAGCAACAGAGAAATCTTTACGCATTTCCTATAATTAGTAGCTAGACCTTGTTTGGACATCAACTCATTTTACGTTTTCACTCATTTTACCTTTTAAACACAAAACTTAATAGAAAATGAAACATCATCCAAACAACTTTCTGATTTATATTTTAAATTCTAACTTGAAACACTTTCTGTTAGTATAATGACCATTTTAGAATTACAAATAGTTCAGTGACAAATTTGGCAGGATTCCGTTATCGAATGATTGTTTTTGAAAAAGTTTTTTTTTGCAGTGACTATAATTGACTGTATTTAATTGTTTATTGATGACTTGTACTTGATATTTCAAAATGTAGTTCAAAATACTTTTTTTTTTCAAAACCAACATCTAAACAACATTTTTATTTCCCATTTAGTTTTTTAATTTGAAACATTTTTCACTTTTAAGTGGCAAAATGAAATGTAAGTTGACGTCCAAACAAGTACTAGGTTTTTCTGCCCGCGATTACTCTTGGGCTATTTATCTTGAAAACATTATACTTTAATGATTTTAAAATAAATTAAAAATTTTATATTTGGTTCATTTTTTCACAAACAAAATTTGAAATTATGATCTCCTTCGAGTAACAGTCCATACTCAGGACTTTTTTTTGTCACTCATCCCATTTGATTCGGTTTCATACTTCTTTTTCCCTAATGACATTCCCATTTAATTTGGTTTCATGTATTTTTTTTGTCCCATTTAATTCGGTTTCATGCTTCTTTTTTTTTCCCCTAATGACATTTCCATTTAATTTGGTTTCATGCATTTTATATTAAATATTGATATACTGCATATGAAATTACACCTAATAAGAAGAAAATTGCACGATATAACTTATTAGGTTAGATAGTGTCAATCTTTGTCAAAAATTAATTATTTATAGATTTTAGACTGAGCCCAACTTCTTTTTTTTCTTCTTGAAACCCAGAATTTAAGCCCAGAAAATTAAGTTTAGCCTAAAATCTAAAGTAAAACAAAAGTTGCTGGGTTAAAATTGAAAAGGCCACATTTTTTTTTGTCTGGGCTTGAAAATATTTTAATACTCAGGCATGTTTTTCGACTAAATGACAAAAATGCCACCATTTTTATTGATTTTGTTCCAACGACGAAAGTACTATACCTTTTGTGGCTCGTGCTTTTATATAGTAGTAGATTTGTTCCAACGACGAAAGTACTGTACCTTTTGTGGCTCGTGCTTTTATATAGTACTCCCTCCGTCCCATAATTATTGTCCAATTTTACTAAAATAAAAGATTTTTTTTTTGTCAAACTTAACTATATTTTACCTTAAACAACCGGATATACCCATATATAAGTAATTGTTTAACCACTAAGATTTTATGGATAATATTTTTTACTAAGGACAAATGTGTAACTTGATCCATAAAAAGTCAAATTGGACAATAATTTTGGGACAGAATTTTTTGGGCAAAGTGGACAATAATTATGGGACGGAGGAAGTAGTAGATAGTAGATATTGATAATCGTGTAAAATCTAATACTCCCTCCGTCCCATAATTATTGTCCGAGTTTGAGTTTTTATTTCTAGTTCAAATTGTACTAAAAGTGAAATCTCAAACTGTACAATAATTTTGGAATTGAGGGAGTATATTTTTATGACTAAAATAAATTTCAAAATTCAATGTAGTGACTACATCAAAAAAACTGAAATCATCATCTCGTTCCATTCATAACAAGATTGCTTGTACTTGTCATCTATGCGCTGGATTAGAAATTGAATAAATTAATATTAATATTGAATTGAAATGAACCCTTAATATCTACTCATTTCGCCAAGAATAATCCATCTTGAGTTTTTCAATTTGTATTAATATCACTGCTAATAGTGGATTTTTTTCCCCCCTTTTTGGGATAGAAGTATTAAATTTTGGACCTTAATACATGGTAATTTATCACCTGAATTCCCGAAAAAAAAAGAGTTAATAGTTACCTCTAGAAAAACAGGTTATCAGGCAAATTAACTCACTGTAGGCTACATTAATTAACAACCTTAATTAACTGAAATATTTAGACAAACGCCGCCAAAACCTCCAAACAAAATTGGAAGACAAGTTAAAGTTAAATTGCGGATACAGTAAATGATTTGATGAAGAAGCGAATCATTCCATTACCCTATTTTCTGCTAATTTTTTTTCCTCTACCTCCGATGATTATCAAGTACAGACCGAGATCAACGGCTTCAATCCCTTATTTACTTGCAGGTACTAAAACCCTAACCTTTCAACCTACGGATTTTTCCATGTTTTTGTTGGAGTACGTTTTTCGAACTAATTAAAGCTTACCGTAATCGAACAATGCCAGGTGAATGTAGAAGAAGCGTCTCTACCTCGATTTCAAAATTCGCCTCTTTCACTACCGGAATACGCCGAAGCTCCGGCAGGTAAACGGTTTATTTTTTGGTTGTTCCTTTCTGAAATTATGAACGCTTCGTACTGGAATTATAGAATGCTAAAGTTTCACATAAAAATCTGTTAATCCGGTTGGAATGAAGAAGTTCTTGTTTGTTTTTTTGTATCTGTCTCTATTATCTATCTTTATGTTTTGGCTACAATCAGCAGCTTCGTTGAGTTGTATTTTCAGTGTTGTAATTACATACTGATGATTTCGTGTATAGCATTCACTCGCACACAGTTTTGTTTAGTTAGTAGAGTTTTAGCTATCGCGGTATTTTTACATTTTAGCATTTAATTTGTACAAATGCGATGTAATCATTATGCAGAGTGAGTTTGATTTTGTAGTTATAGAGCAATTTGCAGGAGAAAACATTCTGTACATTATTTTTTCGACTGAGGGATTGAAAAGAAACCCAGTTGTTAGAAGATTGACTAATGATCAGTCTGGATATTGACACAGATCTATTCTTGTTAGTTGCTTTAAAAAGTACACTCGAGAGCAATTATTCTTTGGTTGCTTTTGTTATCTGCTTTAATATTCTGGCTGGAAACATCACTCAGATACTATGAGTAGGATTCTTTTTTTTGTGAAATTTCTACTGCTATGAAAACATTTTGGCACGTCTAGGCACGGAATTAACCGTGGGAAACTCTGAAGTGAATATATTTCTAAGTTGATAATCGTGGGTGTAAAAATGATGTGGTAGCTACATGTGTTCGAAGTAATCAGATAGATAGTGCTTCTACGAAATCTTTGCCGATTCTTTCACTCTTTAATGAAAAAAGAGCTCTACTGTTTTGCTTGGTTATGTTCGTTACTGAACTCAATCCGGAATAGGTCTTCACTTCCTTTTAAATCAAGGATTTATTTGAATACCAACTTTCATTCCTAATCTGATATGATCATGAATATTCTTCATCAAATTCGAGATTTGAGAATTAACTGTCTTTTTCCGCCAGATTCTATGGTCAAGGATTCCAGAGCGGAAGGGGAGAGCATACTTCATCATGTGAAGATGACTTCTTAGAATTAGGCCCACCAGTGCAAGAAACTGGTGGTAAACTGAAATTGGCGACAGAGAAACCTGAATTTCGTCTGGTATGCAAATATTTATGGTTTCGTTGAATAGGTCCACTTCTTGAATCTACTTGCGAAAGATTTAACGGGGTAGTTACCATGAGGCTCTTCTATTGCCTGCAGAAAGTGAATCCCGTACCAAAAGCAAAACCGAGCCATTACTCTTCAGAAAATACGCCCGGCATTTGGAGTTCTGTTATTAAAAATTTCCAAGCCCCAAAGACCAAGCCTCGGGATCAAAAGGATACTTCTTCATTAGCTGTTAAGCAGAACCAAGGCTCCAAAAGTGGCAATCCTATAACTATCAAGGAGGATAGATCAAAGAATAGTCGCGATACTGTGAATAATATAGCTTCAAAGTTTAGCCTTTCTGATTGGGATACAGCATCATCAGCTTCTGGGAAGGTGTCCTCTGCACACGTCCGGAGATCACCTGATAACCTTAATTCTTGTGACACTCAGTTTATGGTAATATGTCACTCTGTTACTTTAATTTAATTCATTTTCTCATTAAAGGGTCGCACACTGAGCGTGCATTTTGACAAATTTTAAGAACTCAGAATCAAGCAGCAGATCCATTTTTACCGGTGGAGATACTATGGAGAGCATTCATCTCCCAATCTGTCCCCAGCCACATTCAGATATAGTCACTATTCAAATCAAGGGTATTGGCTTGACTACCCTGCCTGCAGTACAGTACATTTGCAGGTCAGTTGGTGCACTTGAGGGGTTATCAATGGATGGCAAGGATGCTGTCAAGGCTTTTTACAGAGTGAAGAACCACTCAAAGTTGCGAAAAATACTTACCAGGTAAGTAAAGGTGTGATCTGTTGTGGGGTTTTATAAAGTCCGAGTATAATGTTTTGTTTCCCTCGCCCATCTTAGGGTCCTAGGTACATTTTACTGTTCTGTGCTGCACCTATATCCAACTCGGATTGTTTATTTAGCTCCTGATTTTGAAGGTTGAGTGAATTTTGATGCTGCAAGAGTTGGTTAACGAAGTGTGTCGAGCTATAGTTTAGACAAAACCTCTAGCATGTGACCTACTTTCGCCGTGTAGTGCAGGAGCTTACAGTACGTAACTGAGTGTACCCTAACTTTAGGAGCTTGAAGCAACATCGAATAATTATTGTTCTAAGTGTGCTTGGAAACTGAGCGAGTGTTTCCTTTTGTCCTTCACAAATAAAATCATGGTTTAATTTTACTAGCTTGCTGCGGTGCATTTATTATTCTGTTCGGTTATGTACACACTTACACATTTCAAACCTGGGAGAAATCAATAATATATCAATCTTGCAGAATATGGTTTAAGAACGTCTCTTGAAAAATAGACCGAATGTAAATGTGGATCATTAACAGGATCTGGATCCTTCTGTATGTCTATATTATAGCCAAAATGTCATATCTAAAGTTAATTAATTTCTGAACATGTTCTATTTCTCCGCCACGCTAGGTTAAACAATACTGTCATAAATAGCCATCGCTGGTCTGCCACAGTATTATCTGATAAGGAAGAAGATGGTGACAACAGCAAATTGGTGTTGCAGTTGAACAATCGCGTAGCTGATCTTTGGAGCCATTTAATGACGCAGAAAATGTGGTTGGAGGATTTGGAATATCTGCATATGGGAATTCTGCATCTGCAAGGTCTGCCTACCAATGCTGATTCGTGACACATCGGCTGAATCGTTTTAGCCTTTGCTTTCTTGACATCCATTTCATCCATTTTGGTCTAAAGCTCTTTGCTACAAGACTCCAAGTTGCATTATCTGGCTATATATCAGCATGCAACATAATATCACAACTCACAAGGAACTTGAATGTTTTGCAAAATATTCCAACATTGGAGCTAAACTGTCCTTTTATCCGTCTCTGTTGTGCCCTTCATCTGTCATTGGAGAAAAATTTTGAAGCAGAACTGTTCTTTTTAAGCCATATGTATTTTAGCTAAGGGGATGCAAGTTAATTGCCTGGTGGTAAATTTGTGTAGCTCAAATCAATTCATTTTGAAGTTTTCAGTTTGGCTGAGTCAGCGGATGTGAAGTCGAACCCAGATGGTGTTTTGCACCGTTGACGTGCCATTGAACTAACACTTGAAGTGGATATAATATACTGCTAACCAGGATCAAGGCTCTAACTGGAAGAAGATATACTAGAACTTAAATCTACAGAAAACAATTCAGTTCTAGAACTTGTTGAGTGCATTTACATTTTTGAAATACACCACATTTAAGTGAAAAGGCAGAAATTTTGACCGAGTTGTGTTACATGGGATATTGCAAAGAATTTTTACCTTCTCATGTAATGCATCACAGCATCACTATTCATTAATGGTTTCGGTTCACATGAAAAATTTGCCAGACATGGTTTTTCCAATAAATGTCCAATTCATGGCCTGCTCTTAGCACACTACCAGCTCACTAGGTACAGAATATCTAATGCTAGAAAAACTCGAAAATTTGGAAGCATAGGTTTAGGGTTATTCCCCGGGATCATTACTTCTCAATGTGGTGCCCAGAGTTTCACAGGTTTTTTCGTGATTTTCTGACTCCATACTCAAGACTGAGCATTCTTCTTCAATTTGGTATCCTCGAGGATCATCAACTAAAGACTTTACATAAGTACACTGTCCATGATATTCTGCTTCCATATTGTGATGATTGGCATGTTCCTGTTGTCCCGAGTTTGACGGTTGAAGATCAAATGAAGATGATGATGGCCCTGTTGGTTGAGTCCTCATTTGTACAGACCGCAGAAGCGCAGCCCTACGCAAGTCTGCAGAATGGCAAATGTCACTGGGCGAGGATGGGAATCGACCCTCGGAATCTGAGCCGCCCCGTTGACGAGGTTGTGTAGCTGTGGTGGTGGGTGAGGCAGGGCAACTATGTGCAGGATAGGATGTGGATGTGGACCCACTCGACGGCCTTTGGTTTCGGTAAGGAGATACAGGACTGGTTGGTCGGCTATCTGGCAGGGACGAACACATGTTGACTGAGGTCTCGAAGTATCGTGAGTCATCAGAGTCCTCTGACATTGGAGAATATTCTACAGACATCTCATCCCTGCGATAATGCAAACAAATTTTAACAGATAAATTGGCAGAGTGATGAAATATTCGTATACACATACAATCCAGCATAGCCCAGAGTCCAGACTAAATAAGTCATGAAGCAAATATATACATGACTATAATATACTCATTGCAGCTTGATGGTTAGTCGTAGTCTTGCAGGGACTTACAGGACTCCGTAAGGTACGGAGTACTTAACCAACCTAATATCTATGTTAAAGGACTCCGTAAACATCTGGAGATTGAAGGCATTTTCATTGGTGGCCCAATCATATCAACCAAGACAAAGATAACAAAGCATTTATCTAGGTCGACCATGTAAATTATATCTCCATTAAAATGCATCACACTCTTCAACTACGCCCAGATTAATGAGAGCTATCATTTAACACAAGTACTCATTATAATTGGGTCTTAAGACCACGAATTCCAAACTTCAGACCAGCTCCAAGCAACCAGATACCAAATGGATCACTGAATCCATAAAAATAAAACCCCCAGATACTTCCTTATTCTCTTAACCTCTTTATTGTGGGTCATTTCCAATCATTTTTCACTAGCATTATTCATAGAAATTTCATATTAAATGGCCATCTTTCCTCAGAGAAAGAAGGGATCCTAATGGAAGATGCATTTCAAACATATAAAACCTTCCCTTCAGAAAAGTACAGATTCTTTGAAGGATCCCTACCTTTGGACTTCATGCTTGTCATATGATGCTAACAAGTTTCCACTTAAATACCTCCTGTTTACCAGGTTCTGTGTAATGCACTCATAGAATGGCAATGATATTAATGTCAAAAGAACCAAGTTTGGGTATCAATTGACATGATAACTTCAGGTCCCATTTGCATCACAGCTTTCCATTTGTGATCCGAAGCATGCAGTACTTAAGGGACTAGTCGCGGAAATGACAAAAAGCATAGAATTAAAATCAATGATCGACCTGATATCCTTCTCGATTTCCTTCCAGAAGAAAAGAGTGAGAAAAATAGGCAGAACAAATTTCTTCTGCATTTAAGATTGTCTGCTAAAAGAGAGGATATTCATGACGGAGAAAAGTTTCTTATTTGTCATCTACACAACAACAGACATGCCACTAAGTTGAGAAACTTCGTTTGGTTAGAAGACACTGAATAGGAAGTTAAGAATAACAAACTCTTGAACCTTTTCAAACCCTCAGCTTACAACCATTCACATTTCAAACACTCAGCTTGCAAGCATTCACATTTGAAGGTAACAAACATTTTACAGCTGAAATCATCTTCGAAGAGCACAGTTGAAGCACATTCTCTGTTAGTAAGATTACTTTACACACAGGAAAATAAACAAAAGATGCCTAGCACAAGTTCCCGAAATGCCACAGATCAACACCAAGAGACAAACATGACACCAGGACAATTAAACTTCTTCCAATTACCCCCCATGGAACATGTGGGAAAAAGAAGAGACGTTACCTTTCGAACAAAATTTTCACTTCTTCACATATCAATTTACGCAAACATCCTCCACTAGAAAAATAACAACCCAAGGGCCTGACGCTTCCCAACGTATAGAAATATTGAAAGCCTTAATGGTCGGACCTTTCCCCTACCTATAGAAATAAGAAGGGCCTGACTTTCCCAAACCTATAGGCTATAGATCTATAAATATGAATTGTCTAACCTTCACCTGCCTCAGAAACATAGAAAGTCTTAAACTGCCATAGTGTTCCCAATGTAGAAATACTATCAAATTTCATGGTGGCCTCACCATTGGAACCTAAATAAAAATAGAAAGCCATAGTGATCCAACCCTTTCCTGCCCCCCCAGATAAATAGAAAACCTCAATTGCCCAACTCTTCCCCGACCTGTAATGAAATACAAGCCTTAATGGCCTCATCTTCCCCGAGTCATTGATATACAAGAAACATTAATGGCCAGACCCTTCCCGGACATACGACGAAATTTAGAAAGCCTTAACGGCCAAATCCATGCTGAAATATGAGAAGCCCTAACAGACACACCACCAATGTCTTCTCCTAATCCTATTTGGCCATGCATCAAGGAAAAATAAGCAATACAATAACACATAGGATAAAACTTGCATACAAGAATCATAGTTCACAGAATATTGGACCTAAACGAAACGTAAGCCCATTTCAGGTTCTTCCAATTTTATTCTCATTCCACATACTAACCTTGTACATTTCTTAAACACAACTTTCATTTCCAATGTTATAATTGCAAACAGAAAAAAAAAGGAAAATCACAATATTAAAAAAAGGTCAAAAAATGTAAACAAAATCATATACCTGAGATAAAACATGGTTTCAGATCGAGCAGGAGATTCCATAAGATTATCAGGAGGGAGGGGAATGGGCTGAGCATCACCTACAGTCAATCCATTCAGACTTGACGCCATTATCTGCCCAATTAACGAACATTCAGAATCAGTATATACACTAACCAATAAAGGAAATGTCAGTAAAGTTTGCATCTTTGAGCCAAGTTTAACTCACTAATTTCTTTTTTATTAATAATTTGTTACCTCACTTAGGTAACGCTTGTGAGAATGGAGATTATCGACGTAAACCTCGTCTTCAGGGTCCCTACTTCGTTTCCCACTTGGAGAGGAGGAGGAGGAGGAGGACGACGACGACATCGCCGTCGCAGGTGGCGGAGGCGGAGGCGGCGACGACGCCGGCGCTGAGGTTGATGATGAGGAAGAGGCTGATAATGAATTTGCTTCCGAACCCATTTGTTGTTCGTTCGCTTTACTGTTCTCTACTCTCCACTACACGTTGCCATAGATCATAGTACAGAATCGAAAAAACTGTTCATGAAATCGTATACTAACAGAAATCCCAGGTGAAATTTGCAATGAAATTGTTGCTGAAAAATTATTATAAAAACAACGGCGAATAGCGACAGGGCGGGTTACTCTGTTGCTTATCGAAATTTTTAAGACCAGAAAATAAAAAAAATATAAGTCATAAAAAGTAAAAAGGGAAAAGAAGCGGATATGGCAAAATTGGAAGAGGAAAATAGTCGAACGGTTATCACTTATCAGTCCTCTTCCATTTCTACCGTCGGCCGGGACAATCACGCACGTCTGAGATAGCAGGGCTCAGTCCAAACTGTGAAAATAGTTTTCCTTCTGGGTCCACGGAGACAAATGGGCTATGTTTCGTTTCAGCCAGCCCATTTCGTGAATGATGGTCTGCAATAATGCTACAACTTTGGTTTAGTTGTGCTAACTCTACGGGTCCGTTTGATAAAACTTAATTTGGGTTTGAAGCTTGAAATCTGAATACTGAATCATAAGTACTGAATTGATTAAGTTTGTCGTGTTTGACAAAAATCAAAATCTAAACACTGAATAAAATGTTTGAAATCTGAAGTCTGAACACTGAAATTTAAAATATCTCGACTTATAATTTATCTAAAAAAATAATTGATGTATATGAAACTATGATAATAAAATAATAATAATAATATTAAATAATGTAATAAAATTATTTAAATTTTATTATGCTATTATTTTTCAGTTAATAATAATGTTATATTTTATCATTGTCAAAAAAAATCATATTTTATGGTAAAGATATATTGATCATGGAACTTAATGGATTTTAATTTTTATATAAAAATAAATATTTATTAAATAAAAAATAATTTACATAAATTTTAATTTAGAACTAGACATCATGATTAATAAAAATATTTCAAGATAAAATATCAAAAGTATAAATATGAAAATCAATAAAAAGAAAAAAAATCGTCTCAATAATTCAGTTCAGACATAAGTGATAAGCCTATCATTTATTTTTAGGCTCACATTTGTACAATCATTTCAGACCCACTTAATTTATTAAGGCATCCTACTTTGAATTATCAAACACACTTAAAATTTAAGTCCTTAATAAATTAAGTTCTTAAACAATTAAGTTGTTATAATATTGTGTTATCAAACAATGCTAATCAATTAAGTACTTAATTAATAAATTTAAGTGCTTAATTAGTTTATCAAACAGGGCCTACTTCTTATCTTTTTCAGACCCTCACCTATTGGTGCTTAGAAGGTACTTAACATTGGACCGGAACCTACGCGAAAAAAGAATAGTACTATTAAGGGAGACTCCACTTAAATGCGCTTTCTATTTGGATGTCCGGTTCTCCCTTATCAGCATTTGCAGATTTGTCTGTTTAACGAGGCTGCTTCGATAAACTATTTGCTTCCTCCGCTAATTGTTTGCTTCTCGCGTTTGCGTCCTCGGTAGGAATCGAATATTCAACCTCACGGTTACATGTGTAACACCCTAACCATCAAGGCATGACTCTACTGTCTCATTTGAAATATGTCAAGAGAGTTTCATTTAAGATTGAGAGGATATATTTTTCACTTAAGATTAAAAAATATATTAAATACTCTTTCTGTCCTGAAATGAATATCTAATTTAGATTTCTATTTTTAATTTACATTATCATAAAAATGACAATCTAATATGAACAATTATTTTGGGACATAAAGAGACTTCATTTGTTCCAAAATTATTATGCATTCATAACACAATTTATATTAGGAATTTCAACTATGAAAATGTTTTTCATTTAGTGTTTCCACAAAAATTTTTGCCTACCAATCTACATTTAATTTTATAATGTCTTACTAATTACTTGAACTAATTATGTTAGCTTATCAGTTGCAAGAAAAATGTGACGAATTGAGAAAAAGAGAAAAGATTATGACAATGTCTTTTTTGTTTTCTTTTACAAAGAAATCAAATCAAAAGTGCTGAGAATAAACTCAAAGCTGCTTTACTTTCCGAAATTCTCCATTACTAAAAATATCCCAAAACTAGCAAAATACGAAAAAGCCAAAGAGTAGGATTTTCTTCCTCATCATTAGCAGGACCTCTTTATTTTGACCCCTCAACTATGATAAAAATACTTTCTCAATTATCAAACGCGACATTCTGCTAGCAAAAGGTTTTATTGTATTGGAATGTGATCCAAACGGTGGGGAAAATAATTCATTAATGTTCTGAGTTCTAATAATGTATCAAAGTGCTCTTCAAAAAAAAAAAAAAAAAAAAAGAAAGAAAGAAAGAAGGGGAGACACCAAGAGACTATTGTTGTTCCATTTTATCAAATTACATGGTTTAAAAAATACTGCAGACATGGATAAACCATCAAACGAATTTGAGCAAAAGACATTAAAGGTAAAAATATAGAAAAACAAAAAAAAGCAAGATTTGTTCGATATGGAGAATTAAATGAACATATTGCAGCCGTACGTTTGGATCGTTTTTTAAGCGTATAATTTTAGGTGTTTTTTTTAATATTAAAAATATAAAAAAATTGTAATAAAAATATAAAAAGATATACATAAATAAAAAACTGTAAAAAAAACCAACCGAAAAATGAATGAGGGAACTATGGAAGGGTATCGTGATCACAAATCAGAATTTGAGAAAGTATTTTGCAGCCTTCAGATAGTTGAAGGGGTTATTTTGCAATTTACTCTACACTTATATAAAGGAAGTAAACGACACCTGTCAGACATCAACCGAAGGAGCTTTAGGCAAACACTGATAATTTGGTCCCTTCCCGCTCGGGCATATACACAAACATATTGCATACACAAAAAACCAGCCACCATTTCAGACCCTTTAAACCCTTAAAAACTTTGCACGGATTGGTTATTTGATTTATCATAGTTGGGTTCAGAAGTTCAGAAGGAAATAGGAGAAGTAAGAGGAAGAAAGAAAAATGAAGTTTGTGTTGGTGACTGGAGGAGTGGTGAGTGGGCTGGGGAAAGGCGTCACCGCCAGCAGCGTTGGCGTCGTTCTTAAAGCTTGCGGCCTTCGAGTCACTTCCATCAAAATCGGTTTGTCCCTATTCTGTCCCTTTTCTTTTTTGATTCGAGTTTTTTTATTTTTTCATGTTTTTGTTTTATCATTTCAGTTGATCATATTGATCAGAATAGTGATCGTATGACGTCATACCAAATGCATGATGTTATACGGGTTTCCTCCCCTTCTTTTGGTTATTCTGGTTGCTGATTTTAGTTTTGCTTTCAGCTTGTCTGCCTTTTTTTAAAAACGTTTGCAAGCTTCTGTTCATAGTTATTGTTTTGTTTTAATGGGTTAATTTTGGTGGTGGTCGCTACCATTATTTTGACTCTATCCCATTTTTCCTGAGCCTTTGTTGACTTTTGATTTTTTTAAAAGAGTTTCTTCTGATGTTCTTGGTTATTTTTTGATTTTGACTTTATCCCATATTGCCCTCGAGATTTCTTGGTTATTTTTGCGATTCTTATTTTAATTTGAAGTTCCTATGTGAAGTAGGTAGTTTATTCAGAGTAGCAAACTCAGAGACATCATCATCTTCTACCTGTGAGCTTTGAACAATTGTCAGCAGTTTTTGTGGGATAAAAATTCAGAGCAGCTGTATTTTTAGACCCTTAAATCTGAGAATTGGGTTCTGCTTTTAGAGTGTTGTTTGCGCCCCCTCTTGAAATGTCAATTCGGCCTAAAATTAAAGAAAAAGAAGAAGTCAAAAAGTGGAAATGTGCTTGGTTAGTTTATTTAGAACATGATGTTGTTCCTTCCTACTTGGGTATTAATACAAGCATTTTGCATTCATAAAGCCAAAACCCTCCAAACCCGCCAATACACACCTACTGTTGATTGTGTTGGAAGAAAAACAACTATAAGGATGGAAGGAAATAAACAAAGAAAGGATATGAAGTACGTGTTGGTGACAGGAGGAGTGGTGAGTGGGCTGGGGAAGGGTGTCACCGCCAGCAGCGTCGGCGTTGTTCTTAAATCTTGTGGGATTCGCGTCACTTCCATCAAGATCGGTTTGTTCCCCTGTCCCCTCCCCTCCCCTCCCATTATTCTATGTTTCAAGATTTTGATTTTTTGGTGGATATGGTGTTCTCTCATGTAATTATATTTAGTTTATTTCATGGTTCGGGGTTTAGGGTGTGATATTTAAATGAAGGACATGGTTTATTTGTATCTAAATGGACAAACGTGTTCTAAAAGTGGAACACTGGAACTTATGATTTATAGTTCATATTGCTTGCCCCATATAGCGAGTTGAAGTCTAACCTTGTTGATTTCAGTCAATCAGCCTGGCGTGACATTTGTATTGTGGCTGCCTTTTGGAAGGCTGCTTTTTCTTGTGTTTATGACATTCAATTGTTAATTTCAGCTGGCCAGTTCCTTCTGTTAAAGTTTTAATTTTCTTTTATATTTTTTCTTGTATGTGTGACATTTACTGTTACTTTAGATTGTCAGGGATATTTTGGCATTGTTAGAGTCTTTGCTTCTCTCTTTTTTTTTTTTTTCTTTTTTTTTCCCGACATGGAGTCTTTGCTTCTTGATTCATGGAGAAGTTTTCTGTCTGCAGATCCATATTTGAATACTGATGCTGGTACTATGTCTCCTTTCGAACACGGAGAGGTTTTTGTTTTAGATGATGGAGGAGAGGTACTCCCATTTGACCTTTTAACATTTGTTAAAAACATTTTAGTTTCTAGTATCCTCGGTTGATTCATCGTTTTCAGGGGAGACAAACTTGTGCTTGTGTACCAGCCATGCCTTTTTTTCCCCCCGCACCAAAACATTAGTTTTTACGAATGTTTTTTGTTTGTGGAACATGTCCTTATCGTCAGTCCTCTAATATTTTAATAGGTCGATCTAGATTTGGGGAATTATGAGCGATTTTTGGATGTGACACTTACAAGAGATAATAATATTACGACTGGGAAGATATATCAGGTGAACGGCGGGTTTGCTGTATTTGGATTCCCGTTTCTCAAGTATATTTTGGGGTTGTGCTTATTGCTAATGTAGTTTACTTTATTCTTGATTTTTAGTCCGTCCTTGAAAAGGAAAGGAGAGGTGACTACCTTGGAAAGACTGTTCAGGTGATGCTTTGCGTTATTCTTCTCCAGTGTTCTCAACAATTACTTACATAACAATGATTAAACAATTGTTTTGTTTCGTGATGGTTCCAGGTAGTTCCACACATAACAGATGCGATCAGAGAATGGATTGAGAGGGTATCTGCCATACCCGTGGATGGAAAAGAGGGTCCTGCAGATGTTTGTGTCATTGAATTGGGGGGGACTGTAGGTATGAGCTCTACGAGGTTTAGGTGCCACTTTCTTATGTGACATAATTTTGATTTACCAATTGGAATGCATATAATTAGAATTGTTTTTTTGCTCTTAATTCTATGATGAGCCTCTGAAGAAACTGTTCTAATCTTGTGTTCGTGATAATATCTATCAGGTGATATTGAGTCAATGCCGTTCATTGAGGCTTTACGACAATTATTTTTTGCAGTGGGTAAGTTTTCTTTACATCTGTAATGTACTAAATTGTTTTTTCCTGTCATCTCGTGGTCTTTCTCCCGAAAAGAATAAGATACTGGAAACAGCTTAGTATTGTATTGTAGTAATACAAAGGCACAATGAGTTTATAATCTCGTAACGGTACTATTGGTTGAACTTTGTTTCTGGATTTGCTTTTGTGAAGTCATCGGAAGTCTGTCGGATACCATAAACTCATTGACGGTCTTTTGAGCTTAGCATATCAGAAGCCATATTCTACCTAGTTTTAATGTTTTATGTCTCTTCTCAGGACAAGATAACTTCTGCCTCATTCATGTCAGTCTAATTCCTGTTCTTGGAGTCGTGGGTGAGCAAGTAAGCAGTACAATCCTATTCTTTTGAATTGGTCTGGCATGTGAACCTCTTTGAATTGCTCCGTGTTTTTGCAATTACTGACTCAGTCTACATACTGTATTGCTGTTTGTTCTCAGAAAACTAAGCCCACTCAGCATAGTGTACGGGAATTGAGAGCTTTAGGATTGACTCCTCACTTTTTGGCTTGCCGTTCGGCTCAGGTATATCATTGATTTATGTTCATTGAAATAAACTTTATGTCCCAGATCTTGATCTGTGATAATTTTAGGGTCTCTCCAGTTATAAATTGAGTTCCGAGAATGAATATACTTGTCTTTGTTGATTAAGTTAACCCAAGCCGTACTCAGTTATAGTATAGACTATAGTCTGCCCAGCTGATGTCATTTTCTGGTTTATGTTTCTTTCTCCCTTTCCCCACTCTACCAGAAGTTTTCTTTAGCCGTATTATAATGTATGTGCCTTCTGCTTTAACAGTAAACATTTTTTTTTTTTCTCTTGCAGCCGTTACTGGAAAGTACAAAGCAAAAGCTTTCTCAATTTTGTCACGTACCTGTAAGTGCTACTTTTTTAGACTCTGGTTTACGATTCTATTAGTATGAATTCTTTCATCTTTGATTTTTTTTTTTGGCAACGGTCCTAGTATTGAGGCATTTTGTAATATGTGGCATTTTTGCAGGTCAGTAATATTCTTAACATTCATGATGTTCCAAATATTTGGCACATTCCTCTACTGCTTCGGGTGGGTAATATGGATATCTTCATTTTTCGACAACCCCAGTCTTTTCATATTGATTGTTGGCTGACATATATTTTTTTTTGCAGAACCAGAATGCCAATGATGCTATTCTAAAGCATCTAAACCTTTTGAGGTAAAATTTTGTTCTACAGAATTATTCATGACTCAAGTAGCCTTGTGATTCTGGAATTAAGTTTCTTCTTTTTATCACTACTGTCAAATTTTTGCTGTGATCCTGTAATTAATGGATTCTTTGGTGGCTGTAACAAGTTCCACTCTGATCGTCTGGGAGTTATACTTTTTGCAGCATTTTCATGATTTGAGATGATCTTTCAAGATAAGATAACTTGCTTATGTTTCTTAACAAAATCAATTTCCAGGGTTGCAACTCCTCCTGATTTGCAAGAATGGACTAAGAGGGCAGAGACTTTTGACAACCTCCAAAATACTGTAATAGGAAATTCTCAAGTCAAAACTTCATTCATTATTAAGTCTTAATATTTATTTTTTAATTAGGAGATGTTTCCATTTGCAGGTGCGGATTGCAATGGTTGGGAAATATGTTGGTTTGACAGATTCTTATTTGTCTGTAGTTAAGGTGAGTGGCACTCTTTTTGTGATAGTGCCAAATTGGATTCCTGTAAAAATTTGACGTCAAAGTTACATTGAACTCTATCTGTACACATTATTCTGCGCAGCTGTTATCCATTGTGTTTTCTTAGTTTTGCGTAGTGAATTTCATGAACCCTTACTGTTCATTTTCATTTTATCATTAGATGTGGCTTGCCCTTTTCCTTCCGTGCAAACTTATTGATAAGCTGATCACAACTTAATGTAATCTTATTGGAGATTACGCTTTAGGTTTTAGTCGAAACTCTGCTGCTAAAGAAATGAGGATGAATCTATTCACTTTCCTATAAATTGCTAAATATTCATTTAACTCAAAGTTATGTGATGTACTTGACAGCCTGACAAGGCATGATCTGTTTCTGTAGAGCAAGACACGGAAGAAATCTACATTGATCCATATTAGCTTAATTTCTTGAATGTTCTGATTGAATTTAGGAAGCCAAAATGCCAAATAGGTTGTTGAATTCCTTAAAGTAGCAGTATTGGTTGCAATGAGTGACATTTCACTGCTTTTTCTCTTATAGGCCCTTCAGCATGCGTGCATTGCATGTTCACTGAAGCTTTCGATTGATTGGATTGCAGCTTCAGATCTTGAACCTGAAAGTGCAGAATCAGTATGTGCTATTCTTTAATTGTTCAATTGACCTTCGAAGCCTGGTTTATGCAATTTTACTTAATTTTGGTTTATCTCCCTTTCAGACGCCTGAAGCATATGCTGCTGCCTGGAAGACTCTTGAAGTATGTTGACTTTTCCGTCATGACATTGAATGAAACTATTGTCTCTGTCATTACTCTTTTAGTAACATTGGAAACCTTAGTGTTATCCCATGTCTAAACTGATATGGGATTGTTTAGCTAGTATGAGTAGATCATTTCTCATTCAGACCGCGAGAATGAGGTAAAATGGTGTTAGATAACTCTCATTTTCTTTTTGTTTATTATCAATTCTCAGGAAGCTGCTGGAATTTTAGTACCTGGTGGATTTGGGGATCGTGGTGTCCAGGGAATGATTCTTGCTGCCAAATATGCTAGGGAGAAGAATGTTCCATATCTTGGGATTTGCTTGGGCATGCAGATTTCTGTCATTGAGTTTGCAAGATCTGTGAGTCGAACTTAGGATTCTTGATGTAATTTTTTTTTCCCCCCTTTTTTATATGTCGGCTTACTTTGTCATATTTGTCTTGAAGGTTTTAGGATTGTCTCGAGCAGATAGTACAGAGTTTAATGCTGATACACAAAACCCTGTTGTAATTTTCATGCCCGAGGTAATGTATGCTTGACTTTTTTTAGTTATTAAGATCTTGAAATCCATTGGTGTACCTGATCTGTTTGTTTGCATTACTGCAGGGTTCAAAAACACACATGGGAAGTACGATGAGGCTTGGAAGTCGAAGAACATTGTTGCAGACTCCTGATTGTATCACTGCTAAATTGTACGTGTCAAATGCACAATGCAATAGTCGGCCCATGTTTTAAGCTAGATAAACTTGGACAATGACATCTATAATCTTATCTGAATGACAACTTGGTCGATGCTTAGCAAACACGTTCAATTGTTGATCTGAATTGTGGTTGTGTTTTCCGGTGGCTCTTTTTTCACATTTTGGCGTATGATTTACATGACTAAGAATCTGGGAACGCTTTCAATTCATTTATTTGTAACGAAGCATGGAAAGAATCTTCGAGCTGTACGACCAAAAGGATTTTAGGTTTCATTTCAGTGAACACCTTAACCACATATCTGTGGTGCTTTCTTTTGCCAGGTACCACAGTTCGGAATATGTGGACGAGAGACACCGGCACAGATATGAGGTTGATCAAGAGAAAGATATTTGAAGGTTGTCCTTATTGTTGTATCAGTAGCATGGAACTTTTCTCTTATCATTTTATGGTTGGTGCAGGTCAATCCTGAGGTAGTTGCCATTTTGGAGGAAGCTGGTTTGCGATTTGTTGGAAAAGATGAAAGTGGTAAAAGAATGGAGGTTAGTAATCAATATAACCACGAGTTCTTACTGTTGTGGATTGTTTTTGTGTGTTGAATATTGCATCTGTCGAAATACTGAGGGAGAAGTAATCAAAATTGTAAGATTTGGATATAATTTGCTGTACAATGTGCAATGTAATAAATCACGTATGCAATTTAATTTTACTTCCACTGTTGATCCATACTTGTTGGTCTTGTGCTTTCACTTTGTTCAGATTCTAGAGCTTCCCAGCCATCCATTCTATGTTGGTGTTCAGTTCCATCCAGAGTTTAAGTCACGCCCTGGAAGACCATCGGCATTATTTTTAGGTAATCATATGCTTGGCTGAGTTTACTGATTAGAGAAACTTTCGTTTTCATTTATTTCTGAATAACATAACTGCATATAATACTCCTTCTGTCCCAAGAAAATAGTCCACATTCAGTTTTCTCAAGTTTTGCTTATTAGCCAGAAAAATGTTTTTTTTGATCTTGAGTCTCTTTATGCAAGACTGGACCTGTAATTGCAATTACTGATGCTGCTTATCAATATTTTAAGATACTATTGAGTCCAGTTATACTTTTACTTAAGGAGTATTTGTTCTTGTCACGTGTAGGCCTGGTTCTGGCTGCTTCGAGGCAATTGGAAGAGTATCTAAAGCAGCAACAGAATGGAAGCTTATAGGCTGCATGCTCGCGGTTCTTACTGTTTGTGCTTGGTAAGGCACTTCGCCATCTGTCTGGAAATGCTAAAATGTTTATTACTTTGCAATTTAAACCTCGGGCTAGAGTTTGATGGATGAGTAAATTTTGCTTCCAAGACAACGGGCCATTCGCGAAGCTCTTGTCAGGTGAAAGTAAAAAGAGCTTGGGCTGGGTTAACTATTTTTCTGAACTTAGACGGGGCAACACCTGGGAAAACGGTGTGAGCAGAAAAAGAATAAGACATATTTGTCAATACCTTTCTCTCCATGCACAGAGTATGATATTATGCCACAGATAGGATCTATAATGTGAGTCGGTTTTGTTGTCTGATAGGAGGATTTAGTTTTGTGACTTGGTACGAAATCATATCTATTTCACTATCCGTATGCAATATAAGCAGACAAGACATGTTTTGTACTTTCCTGTGACTTGTGCCTCAATTTTTGTCATTTTGATAGCATATGTCTCGCATATAATTCCAACTGCATCACAGTGCTTTTAGCCTTTTAGACTTCTGGTGACTCATCGCAGCATCCTCTTCAGGTATCCAGTTTCACCGTCCTTCAATTATCAACAAGAAGGACATTCATCTTATAGAGACAAAGCTGCAAAGAAAGGTGGTTCTACAGGTGTGAAGTCAGCATGTAATTGATGTTTGAGGAGAACTGTGGCATTAGCAGATTTCAATTAAATGAAGTGCCGGGGTACCCTTAAAGCTTTTCTAGGTTGATCTTAGTTTTAAACACTCGGAATTAGCAAATGTTGGTTCTGATGATTTTGTTAGCCATCAAGAAAGTTTGATGGAAAAAATTCTTGTGTAGCCCCGACAGAAGTTTTGGTTGTGATATGGTTTATAACAGCTGTTCTACGTTGTTTGTTTCTGTTATGTTTTTGGGTAATAGGTCGGGCGGGTATGGTACTATGTGGACTAAAACTGTTTTGAATCGTTTGATTTAGAATCTCTTTGAGAATTTGAGATGTTCTTAGCGTTTCCAAACTAATGTTAGGCCATTATACAAATCTAGATGTTGAGCTGACTCTGAAATCAATACACTTTCCTGAAACTCTACAATCTGGAAAAACAATGCTTAAAAAGGCAAAAGAAGAGGACTTTGCTTTTATTGAATGGACAAGTAAATGTGCTCTCCAAGAAGAAGAAGAAAAATGCCGCAAGACCTACTTCTAAATCCAAAATCAAGAACTCCGTATTTGATGATGTCTATGTATACAAAAATCTATATGTGTATGGAGAAGAAAAGGAGGAAGTGAAAATTCGTATGTATATATTAATGTGTATCATTGGCCTCTGATCTGATGAATTAGCTTGCACCTCTATTGATCATCTCAGTGTACTGCAAATACGATATTTGCCTTTGCAGCTTCATTTGTTGGTAGAATTTGGCTATGAATTCTTCCGCTTTCATATCGATTCCACCTTCTTCTTGTTCTTCACCACCATTCCCATAGTCCTCCGGGCTGTCTTCATCATCATCATCATTGTTCAAGAAACTCTTCCTGTACACAATCTCCTGATCCTCTCCCTTGTACTGCTGCTCATAATCATCATAGTCATCCCAAGATTCCGGCTGTCGGCTAAAATCATAGTGGAAATCCACGATGGGAGAAGCGGCCGGATTGATGCAGGGGATGTTAGGCATTTTGAAGCGCAATGAAGAGGGCCGACTCATCTTCAAGTGTATGACTGGAGTTTCATCGAAAGAAAGCTCTCTTTCGCCGTATCCAATGGCGGATGAATTGTTGTGTTGATGATGTTTGATGGTTTTGATCAACTGTACTTTAGCTAGCATTAGCCTGTTCTTCAAAATGCCGCCTTTTCTAGCCCACAGCAAAGCTAGACGGAGGAATCTCCATGCTCGCCGAGCAACCAACGCCGATCTTTTACTGTTCTTCTGCATATTGATTTGATTTCGTGAGCTGATTTTTCGAGTTTGGTGAGAAATGAGAATAAATTGCCAGGAGAAAGAGAGCAAATTACAATGATATGTGATGATTGATGATGAGTGAGATGGAAAGTTGGGTTGGGATTTGGTATATTTATAAGGTTAATAGGACAGAGAAAAAGAGTTGCACAAAATATGGTCAAGCTTACGTTATAGCTGGGGGATTGTACGCGGATTGGGGGGAAAGTTCGTATGCTTTTAACTTCAAGTGTCTCTTGTACTCTTCTCTTACGTTGTTTGCTTCTTCTTCTTCGTCCTCTTTTTATTCTTTTTCGGTACGTATAAAAAAACAAAAAAAAAAAAAAGTCAAGTACCTGATTGTTTAACCATTTGTTATATTTTGAAGCAATATCATGTAAAGTGCTCTTACAGTTACAAATCTAGAATCATTTAACGGTTCTGATATGCATATATGTATTTGTACTTTCTCTGACACAAAAAGAATTGTTCAATACGACGACATTTGCTTATTGCACATAATAATCAAATTAGGACATGTAACATATAAACATAGAAACCAACTAATTAATGTTAGTTTTTGACTGTTTGCAAAGAGCCCAATTCCTAACAAAACAAGTGTATTCACACAAGTTGTTTTGAATTGATTTCAACTTAAAAATCTATTGATAATTCATCCAAACATAATAATCAACTATGTCCCGCGATATAGTACATTTGGAACTGAGGGTTTGTTTGATAGCACCGCTTAATGTTTAAAATTATTTCATTAAGTACTTTTTCAATTAAGCATATTTGATAATAAAAAAAATGAACCTCTTAATGAAATAAGTGGTGTTGAAACTGCAATACAAAATATAAACAATAAAAGTTAATTTATTATTTATTCCGAAACTACTTAATGAATTTATCATTTCTAATTCAGTATTACATATTCAGAATTGAACATAAATTTTTCTCAAACAGACCCTAACCTTAACCTTAGTTAGAACATAAAAACAACAAATGCTGATTCAGTACTTTATTAGATAGCATGAAATATTCAAGCATTCAAAATAATTAGATCTTTTATTAACTTGAACCGTACGAGTCATTTCCATTAATCTTAAACTCAATATATGAATAATTAAAAGGGATTATCTGAATAATAAGACTCATACCATAATTCAGTAACAAATATTCATACATGGAAAAGACATTAGTACAACTGTAAAACTATAATATCGAGTACATTTCTCAGAAATATCGTAGTATAATCACTTATCATTTTCTGTCGCATCATAAAATAAAATTAATTATCATACTCTCGAAAAATGCAACCAAGAATGTTGACTTGTGGTCAACCACTCAAGTGTATGGTGTGGGGTGATTGATTGCATGGCTGGGTTAATTGGGTAAGCGAAGAAAATGAGAACGGCTTGCGGCGGCGGGCGGTGGAATCTCTCGTTAGATACACGGCTGTAACGCGGACGTGGAAATATAATTAACGTAAACAGCTGCTTTCAAGAAAAAGAAAACGTAAACAGCTATCCCCCCCATTGCTGTGTTTTCCCTTAAATACCCTTATCTAATACTACCATCTTTTTTTTTTGGAAGGAAAAAAAGTTAAAAAAAACACTATAAGACCAACTTCAAATTTTCAATCACTGCATTAAAAAATATTGCTGTATTAATTTTGTAGTCACTCAACCATAGGTAGTTCCATAGTAATTTGAAATGTTAAATTTGGAAGAAACTATGCACCAAGTTAATCTCTAATAATCACATGAAACGATGTAATTAATCAAAATCTCTATTTTTTCTTATAACCGATTATTGTGTTTGAAAGATGTAAAGTTGAATAATGTGGGGAGTGAGTGATGATTTTTTCCTTTTTTTTAAAATAAAAAATTAGTTTACATTAAAATGTATTAACGAAAAATCAGATGGGAAAAACTACAAATTAAAAAAAATAATAAATTTTATAGTGGATAATACTTGGCTTCTGTTCACTATCAACGTTATAATAGGATGGGAATGAACAGTTGATCAAGTACTTAAAAATATAGTAATCTAATTTACGGAACGCGAGAGTTCAATTCTTATCACTGACAAGATTTACGAATTTTAGAGCAATATTTTGTTAAAGATAATTTTGGGAAAATTTTGCAACGCCTTACTTTCTGGCTCATCCGTTCCTCCCTAGATCAATTCTCTACTATGTCGTAAAATAGAAATTTAATGTTGAAAAACATAAATGCTACAAAATGAATTTTACCATTCACAAAGCCAGGGGAGAAAATGCTAACCGGAAACGGCTAATGCAGAAGGTCACTTTGGGGAAATTTAATGCCAGCCAATGATTAGGAAATTTGGCCCCCCCAACTGCAGCCAGCTAAACCCACATCTTTGTTGGGTTGGGTTTAGGTGAACTGTTGCTATCTTTTCCAATTAAACAAATTTACTCGTAAACGTTTTTGATTTTTCAATTTTTTTGAGATACAATTTCTTTATTAATTCCTACCATCTGCTTTGCTGTTTCCTGTTGCACTTTTCTTCTTTTGTAAGTTTTATAAGATTATTAGGAAATAAATTAAGGTAGTAACAACAGAGCAACAGAAACCCAGGAGAAAACATCAACCTTTTATTTAGGTTTTCACGATTTTCAGTTAACACGCGCCCGCCCCCGCGTTACGCGTTTTTTGGGATGCAGTTTTAGCTAGCTCTAAAGTATAACCTTCTTCTTTTTCCTTTTTATTTATTTATTTTTTGATTTTTAATTTTTTTTCCATTACTAGCCCCTAGATTTAATTATTTTTATTTTTTAATGTCGTTGCCCCCTCCTGGACATCATTATCATCAATCATCATCAATCATTCATCATCTCACTCAATCACGAAATATAGTTTTTTTTTTTTTTGGGAAGGTTATATATATGAAAACAGAATTGCATCATTTCTATGAAGTTTCGTACTTTGTTTAGCTCAAGTACTTTTCTGTACATACACATCGTGAACAATTTTTATAAATTTGTGTTCATTAATTCTTACTCCTTCCTGTCCTTATTGTAATCCATTTTTATTTTTTCTAAATTTTATTTATTGTACTTTTATAATTAAAGATAAAATATTAAAAATTTAATTTCACATCTATTGTGTTCCCCTAAATTATTTTAAAAATTTTATTGGAGGGCTCCTCTTGGAAGTAGTTATGAGGACTGAATATACTTTTGTGCCGTCAAGCTAGCTAAAGGAGATCGTGGTCTTGACGTTCCTCCAACACTCTAATTATCCACTCCCGCCTATTATATGCATATAATGGTATTCTCTTTGGTTTTTTAAAAATAAAAATAGAAGAAATAATCCCTATGTATTGGATTTTGAAATTTGTAGTTGTTTCAGTTCAAACTGTAACATATGATCTCATTAAAAATATACCATTGGTTCCAAATTATGATATCAATTGGATACAGAGTATAAAGTTACTACAAAATCAAATGAGTCGAACTTGTCCCTGTCGCGAAATTTGACCTCATTTGGTCTTTTGTTTATAAACTATATTTTACTCTCTCATTCCAAAATTATTGCCTAATTTAAATTTTATTTTTAGTACAAATTGAATTATAAGTAAAAAAATCTAAGCTGGACAATAAATTTAAAAAGAGTTAGGGATACTTGATATTGTAAAAAATTCGAAGTATATTGTTGGTAGAGGTCTTAGATTAGAAACATCTAATCGATCGACATATCCAAATTATAAATAACATCAAAAGCTATGCAAGGGTATAAGATCAATCACTCTGATGTTTTAACTCGTCCTATTTACAAATGCACATCCTCGAACTAAAATTTGTTACAATACATGCCTTGTAAAATTAAATGGTTCAAAGGTATATGTCGTTCAAAAAAATTGAGGTAATTCATCAAAACTAAAGATTTATTCAGCCTTTAATTTTGTCTTAAATATCATGTGGGATGGAGGGAGTATTCATATTACTAGTTCTGTACTAAAATTATTCTTTAATTTGTATTTTCTCTCAATCATTTCAGAATGGATTGGAGGGTGTACTTTTTATTATACAATGTTAACAAAATTTAACAAAATTATTTTATAATACCAATAGACGTAATTAGTACACATAAGTTGGGCCAAAAAACATCTCTCATTTTGGTCATGTTAAGTCCTTCTTTAACGCAGTAGACTTGGACTTGCTGAAGAGCCAATGCATAAATATGAACAACAGTACTCCAGACAAACCTTTGACCTAATCGAATGAACTCAATTCGTCCAACAAAAAAGAAAATCACGACAACACAAAAATACTTCTTCCGAAATCTTCTCAAACAGAGAGGCTATAAAATTATGAAGGGAAAGAGAACCGAATATACCAGAACATAAAAAGGGCCACCTAATATTATTCATTTTCTCTTTTTTTTTTTTTTTTTTTGGCTTTCCCCTCTCTTCTCCTATATATAAACCAAACCATCCTTCTTACCATTTCGGGGTTGTGCGATATTAAGGCTTTTCTCTTAACATCTCGCCCTGCATTTTGCAGGCGAGGTCCTTTTTCCACACACACGCAAATTCTTTCCATTTTTTTTTTCCTTCATCAGAAAATAATTCCTTCCACAAAACCCGCCATTTAATTGCACCGGTGATGGCTTCCATGGCGATCAACAACAACATTGCACCGGATCAAGTTCCCCCGCCCGTGATTCCGATCAGCGGGGAAGAGAAGAAGATGAATCAGATCACCAAGAGCAAGAAGAAATCCGGGCCGTTCAGTTTCTTCCGGGCCGCATTAGTAGCCCTAAAGGCCAATGATGACAAGAAGAAGAAACAAAAGGCTTCCGCAAAACTGCCTACGGCAACAGATGCCAACAACAACAACAACAAGGAAGCTAACACCAACGATAGTAATAACTCCGATGGGAACTGGAAGAAAATAGTGGGGTCCATGAGGCCGTTGCATCTTCAGAACGACGTCGTCGTCGAATCTCCTCCGCCTTCTCTTCCGCCGTCCTCCCCCACCCTGAGCTTATCCGACCACCACGGCATCCGGTCGTTCTCCCCCTCGCCGTCGCATTCCTCTTCCACCGGATCCATGAGCCAGTACGCTTCCGCCAGCAACCTCCAAGCCCTAGACGATGGCGATGAAGACGACGATCAGGATGTGGATCCTGATGTCGTCTTCGATGCCATCTGCGGGGATGAATTGATCGATTCTAAAGCTGAAGAGTTTATCGCCCAATTTTACCAGCAGATGAAGATCGATAAGCACCACAATAGCAACAGCAACTTCTATCGTCATTAAAAAGGGCTAAAAAAGTACTCTCCATTTTTGGTTCGTTTTAATTTGGACGTGTTTGTTTTACGTACGTACGTACTCTGCATGCATGCATGCATGGAAGAAGAAGAAGAAGAAGAAGCCACCCACATCAATACAATCACGTACGTCAATCCATGCTGGAAGAAAGAAGGAATAGATGAAATTCTCGTGGAGCGGAATGCATTGAATAATTTTTTAATTATTTTTTCCCTTTAGGTAACTAATTTGTTGTTTCTTTATTTTGTGAGATGCGAAAAAGAAAAATAAGAAGAAAAAAGAAAAAGAAGTTGTTTCGGTGTTTCATGTATGATTGATTAACCTTTCGGAATTAGGGATGAGATGATCAACAACTAATTTACTAATTTGCATTACTTAATTTATTTGTTTCTCTTTTTGTTTTTTTTTTCTTTTATCCTTTCGGACGTTCTATAGAGAATCATGTACTATGGATTCAGAATCCATTCCTTAACTTAAATTAGTGAGATCACAACGAGCTTTTTGGTTGCTTTATTTTTTTTACTTATGATAATCTTTCTATAAGAATATCTCATATCTTTATTTTTGGTTAATTCCTTTTATGTATTTTTGTTTCACTGATAAAGTAGAGTTAAACATCTATAAATTAATACTATTAGAACCCCAAAAAATTATTAATTTATCGATGTATTAATTTATCGATAAATCAATAATTATTAATTTGTTGATTAATAATATTAATTTAAAGAAAATCCCAAATAATCCTATTAATCTATTAAGCTCAGCTATATAAAATTTATATTCCTTTATTCCCTTATATCTCATAGGCATTAGAATTTAGACTCCACCATCATCTTAAATTTTATAACCTACCTAGTCTACCTAACATGTCTCTATTAAAAAGAGATATTTTTTTGGGATAAACTCCCATCAATGGCTAGATACATCATGCAAAAAATTCATAACATTTACAATACTTTGATTATGAAGTTCATAGTGTTTATTTTTTCAAGTCATTATTAATTTATGTTATTGATGGGACCTATATTTACAAGGAATTTTTTTAAAAATTATTATCTTATTATTTTATCAATTGCTTTTTTTTTTTTTGTATTGGTTCCGACTTAAAACATAAAAAAATTATTAATTTATCGATGTTATTAATTTATCGATGGTCTCCTGCATTTTGCTTTCTTAATAACTATAAATACATCTTGTTTTGAAATGTTGCTGCATTTGGGCTTCCTATGCGAGTTTTACTCTCTAACTACAATTCGAATAGTTTAGTGAATTGGGCCACCCTAACAAGAATTGCGCCTTTTAAGCTGGGCCTTCAACTTTAGTTTCATTTTAGTTCTTCAAACTAGTAACAACAATATCGATCTTCTATATACTATACTAAGGCAAAAACCAGAGAGAGAAAACTAAAGGCATGGAGCACATGCCACATAGAATTTAATCATATGTGGCATTTTCTTAATTTCTTAGACTTAAAAATGCACAAAACAAAATAGTAAAACCAAAAAAAATCTATACACTATACTAAGGCAAAAACCAGAGAGAGAAAACTAAAGGCATGGAGCACATACCACATAGAATTTAATCCTATGTGGCATTTTCTTAATTTCTTAGACTTAAAAATGCACAAAACAAAATAATAAAACCAAAAAAATCTATATACTATACTAAGGCAAAAACCAGAGAGAGAAAACTAAAGGCATGGAGCACATGTCACATAAAATTTAATCCTATGTGTCATTTTCGTAATTTCTTAGACTTAAAAATGCACAAAACAAAATAATAAAACAAAAAAAAATCATAAAATAATTTTAAAAAAATAAAATAATAAAAACCGAACCCTTATTTTCATGAACTAAATCCTAACACAGAGATTGATTGGAGAGAGTACCAAATCATAACAAATTTTAGAGAGATCTGCATAAATCTTATCACTAGTGAATTTAAAATGTCATGTAAAAAAAACAAATTCCTGTAAATCTAGAGGTAATCATGTTCAAAACTGAATTCATTACATATTTTATAAAAATACAAAATTTATGTAAAAATGTCTAAATGTGTATGCCTTCCCCGTTCATCGGACGAGTCTAACACCTAGTATTTTTCTCTTCCAAACTAAACATAATGCCAGTATTACTTGAACCCATGAATTATCAGAATCTTCGAAACACAAGAAGCATTTTACCACTAGACTATGCCTCTTTGTCGAAATTCATGAACTCATTTCAATGAATTCAAAAATTTTTGTTTCATTTAGTCGCATTGCCTGATAATTTTAATTCAATAAATTATTTCTTAGAGTTATTACGAAGAAAAATAGGTAAAGATAATAATCAAGAAAACAAAACAAATTAAACAAAAAACCTCCAACATTCTATTTCGGCATTCCCTCCGTCTTAAGATATTGTCTTACTTGTAAAAGGATTTTAGTTCATTAATCATTTTGTTGCGGAGAGAATTTATTTTTATTATTTTGAATTTCAATAATGAGATTTATGGTTTCTATTTTCTTATAATATCCACTTAAATGACTTTACTACAAGAGAGCGGAGCAGTAGTAATTTTTATGAGAGGGAAAATATCTTAATGGATTCGCGGCCCACCACTGACCACCCATCCAATCCAATAGTAGCTTTATAAAAGTTGAAAGAATAATTCTCATATGATGAGTTTTTCTTTTTCTTTAACATTTTATTTTAAAAAAACAAATAAAAAAAAAAAAAAAAGAATGCGCAAAGTCTATCACCGGAGCTTCTCACTACTCTCCTCCTCTACCTCTCCGTCATTTTTTCCATTAAATCGTCAACTCCCCAACTCAATTCTCCTCCGTTCGCCGCCGCGGCTGCCGAAGTTGAGAATTAATGCGCACAACTGCTGTTGTTATTCTTCCTCGGTAACTAATAAGAAGCCGGCGGCGACGACGTTGCCGTTTGATTGTCGGAAAGCAGCAGTGACGACGACGGCGCTTCCGAGGTCTCCAATGGCGAACTATTCCTCATCACGTTTTCACAGCGTTGTTCCGATCAACGCTGTTTCTGGTTCTCTTGAGAACGGAGGCTCGAAAAATGGCGCCGTTTCTTCTTCTACTGCAATCCAGGATGAAGGTCCGTTCCTAATTTGGTCTCCTTTTCTTTTGAATCAATTCTGGTGTTTTTTTAAGCATTTCATTCTATCTTATTAACTTATGATAGAATATTATCTGGAGTTGTATGCTTAGTCTTTAGCAGTTTGTAGGTAATGATGATGAGGTAGGAGTTGATGTAAGTAATGATGATAAGTATTCAAAAATCGATGCGTTGCAACATTGCATAAAAGTCATGTTGAGGTCAGAGCCTCAGACTTCTCCAGCTGAAATATGAAACAAACTTATTTGTTCACCAATCTCATAAGAGGATAGGTGTTTCGGAGGAGGAAAGACAAACAGTGGATGATATCTATGCAACTACTATATTTTTTCTATAGATTATACCAAAAGTTGCTGACATTCTCAAGCTAACATTTATACCTGAATCAGAGTTGGGCAATGGATATCAACTTCCTCCCCCTGAGATTAGAGACATCGTGGATGCTCCACCACTTCCCGCACTATCGTTTTCTCCCCACAGGGATAAGATACTATTCCTCAAGCGAAGATCTTTACCTCCTTTGTCAGAGTTAGCTAAGCCGGAGGAGAAACTCGCTGGTGTTCGCATTGATGGAAAATGTAATTCCAGAAGTCGTATGTGAGTGAGATGTAATTGTTTCTTTTGTTTTATGATCTCACGTTGTTAGTCATGTGTCTTGATCATAGGATTTGTTTCTCGAAGGCTATGATTGGTTTGCAAGAATGGATAAAGTATATTAAGCATTCAAGATCTGCCATATTTTATTTTATTCCCGGGTCCGATATGAGTTGATCATGTACAATTCTCTTTTTCAGGTCATTTTACACTGGCATAGGGATCCACTCGTTCAACGACGATGGCACTTTAGGTCCAGAGACAGAGATTACAGGCCTCCCGGATGGTGCTAAAATCAATTTTGTAACTTGGTAAAGTCACCAACTCAATTTTTTGCATATCTTTAGGGGTCTGTTTTCTTTTTTAAGCTCTTTCTTATGGATAGTATTACATGAAGTATGCATGTTAGATTGGTTTTACTGAGTTGTTATCTCCTTTGGTGGTTTGAAGCTTTTAGCTTGAGATAGTCTTGGTCAACTAGTTGATTGCTATAGCTTATACTTTATACTCTTGGGAATTCTCTTTTTTCAGTTAAGTTGTGACCTAGATTAATCAAAGAATTCACTTAGATTCTAAAATGAAAAATCATTTGTAACTTGTCCCTGGTCATTTTGTCCAATTCATCACAAGATTGCTCTTATATTTTGATTAGAAATAATCACTATGTTGCACATTCAGTATTCTTCTGGACTCTTGTTCTTTCTTACTGATTTCTCCTGCTCTTAGAAAACATAGAGAACCCATTATTATTTGCCCTCATAGACTCATCGTAGTGCATGCAATAAATTTCTGGCGTATGCAGTAATTCATGAGATTTTACTCTCTCGCTCTCTCTCTCTCTCTCTCTCTCTCTCTCTCTGTATATATGCACACACACACACACACACGTTTCTATAAGTTGTGTTTTATGATGAGTTCTTGAAGTTCGGTCTCTATTTGGTACTTGACTCCCCATATGTTTACATTCCTTTTCTTCAGAAGCTGATCAATGCTTAGTAACTTTTCTCCTAATTTTTAATTTTTAATTTGGGTTGAGATAGGTCCAATGATGGTCGGCATTTGGCCTTCGCTGTCCGGGTTGAGGAGGTACTGAAATTTTTTCATCTTAAGATATTACTTGCTACATGACTCCCTTTCTATTTTAAACACTTCCTGAGTGTTTGTGCCCTAATTCAAAGTAAATGGATCTGAACAATTATCACTTGTGAGTTTATCTGGTTTTTAGTTTCTGAAAGGGAGAAGTGTACAACTTGACAATTGCAAGAGCCACAGAATTTTTTCATTTTAATTGGTCAATAAATCTGGCAAAATGCCTTCCTTATGCCTTTTTGATGAGCAGCCATCTTGGAATTATTTTGGTACAGGAGGACCACAGTAGCAGTAAATTAAGAGTTTGGGTTGCGGAAGTGGAAACGGGAAAAGCTAGGCAGTTGTTTCACTCCCCAGATTTTTATGTTAACGCAGTTTTCGATAAGTATGATATGATGTTCCTTTCAGGCCCTATTACTTGAATGTTCGGAAGTATTTCCTAAGTTAATACTATTCATTTTTTTTTTTTTCGCTTCTCAGTTTTGTCTGGTTGAACAACTCAACTCTTTTGGTTTGCACGATACCTTTATCACGTGAGGAGCCACCAAAAAAGCCACCTGTTCCGCATGGTCCAAAGATTCAGTCCAACGAGCAGAAAAGTGTTATTCAAGCTAGAACCTATCAAGATTTGCTGAAAGATGAATATGACGAGGATTTATTTGATTACTACGCTACTTCTCAACTTGTCCTGGCCTCTCTTGATGGATCCATTAAGCCGATTGGACCACCGGCCATATACACATCCATGGAACCCTCTCCTGATGAGCAGTACATTTTGATCGGATCGATTCATAGGCCTTATTCTTTCATTGTACCCTGTGGAAGATTTCCAAAAAAGTTTCAAGTCTGGAGAGCTGACGGGTCAGTTGTGAGGGAACTTTGCGATTTGCCTCTTGCTGAAGACATCCCAATTACAATTAATAGTGTACGGAAAGGGATGCGCTCCATCAATTGGAGGGCAGATAAACCTTCAACTCTCTACTGGTAAACTTGAAGGATTTTTGTTTGTGTGAAAATAAGCAAATCAAGTCACTAACGATGTCTAAAATTTTTCTATTGTGCTTCTTATTTTCCATCTCATGCTCAAGTCCTATAGTTGGAAATTATGAAAGCAGGTTTGACTTCTTTGTTAACTTGGTCTTTCTAAATTATAGGGTTGAGACACAAGATGGGGGTGATGCAAAAGTAGAAGTCTCTCCTCGTGATATCGTCTATACGCAACAAGCCGAGCCTCTTGAAAGTAAAGAGCCAACAATCTTGCACAAACTTGATCTTCGCTATGGGTATTACCTAACTTGATCAATAATAAGTTCTTCGCATTCACTTTATAGATCAGATGTCTGTTAAAATGATTTTTGCATTGTTTCTTTCCCCCTATGTAATCGGATCGTACTTGTTGGAAATTTGAAGGAACAATCTTTCTTGACATAATTGATCTTTCATCTAACAGAGGGATTTCATGGTGTGATGATTCACTCGCTTTAGTCTACGAGTCATGGTACAAAACACGTAAGATAAGAACATGGGTTATTTCTCCTGATTCCAAGGAGGGGACAAGTCCGCGTGTACTGTTTGAGAGGTCATCAGAAGATGTATATTCTGATCCAGGTTCGCCCATGTTGCGTAGAACTCATGCTGGTACGTATGTCATTGCGAAGGTGAAAAAGTTCAATGATGAAGGTATCCATGTTTTGCTCAATGGAAGTGGTGCAACACCTGAAGGGAATATCCCATTTTTGGATTTGTTTGAAATGTGAGTTTGCTGTCTATTTGATATTTTCCTTTGTTTTGTGATTTTATACATATTCTGAGATGAGAAGTTTTCAGAAACACTGGGAGCAAGGAACGAATATGGCAAAGTGACAAGGAAAAGTATTACGAATCTGTTGTTGCGTTGATGTCTGATCAGAACGACGGGGAGCTGTCCCTTGACAAGCTCCGGATACTTACTTCTAAAGAATCTAAAACTGAAAATACCCAGTATTCCATTCTAAGTTGGCCAGATAAAAAACCATGTCAGATTACAAATTTCCCGCATCCATACCCTCAGCTAGCATCATTGCAGAAGGAAATGATCAGATATCAAAGGAAGGATGGAGTTCAACTTACTGCAACCCTATATTTGCCACCAGGCTATGATCCATCAAAAGATGGTCCCCTTCCGTGTCTGATTTGGTCATACCCAGGGGAATTTAAAAGCAAAGATGCAGCTGGTCAAGTTCGTGGTTCTCCAAACGAATTTCCTGGCATTGGGCCAACATCTCCTCTACTTTGGCTGGCGAGGAGGCATGTCTTCTACAACTTGAATACTTAGATTGTTTTCTCCAATATTTTGGTCTACTTTTAAGATGCGTTTAGAGATTTCTTTTCTCCTTTGCATTGAGAGACTCCAATCTTCCAGGTTTTCTATTTTGTCGGGACCGACAATTCCCATAATTGGTGAGGGTGATGAAGAGGCAAATGATAGGTAACTGCTCTCTACTGTTCATTCTTTTCCTTTTTGCTGCACAGCTGTGATACCAGGGAATTTGAGTTCACCTTTGCGACCTGAACGTCGATACAATTTCATTAAGACTCTGTGTGCCAGGTATGTAGAGCAACTCGTTGCAAGTGCAGAGGCTGCAGTGGAGGAAGTCATACGGAGGGGTGTAAGTATTCTGGACTTTTCCTTTTCAACCTTGGACTTCAGGTTGGAGAGTTGGATTTTGTTTTGATATTGTTACTTTTGAAGGTGGCCCATCCCGAGAAAATTGCCATTGGCGGTCATTCTTATGGAGCATTCATGGCTGCAAACCTCCTTGCACATGCACCTCATCTTTTCAGCTGTGGAATTGCTCGCTCCGGTGCCTACAACAGAACGCTTACACCGTTTGGATTTCAGGTAATTATGTCACAATTCACTGGATAAACCTTAGTTGGTGTTTCGAGGTTACCTCTGTGTTATTGTTTTTCCCCCTTTTGCTCTTCGGGTTATTCTTAATTTCCTTGAACCAAATAAGTAATTCTTGGTTTCTTTGAGCCAAACAATTCTTTCTGTTATATTTGTGGTTCTAGTTCAATGATCTGGAAACTTATACTTTTTTTTTTGGTTCGTTTAGAATGAAGATCGAACTCTTTGGGAAGCCACTAACACCTATATTGAAATGAGTCCTTTTATGTCGGCTAATAAAATTAAGAAGCCCATCTTACTTATTCATGGAGAAGAAGACAACAATTCTGGGACCTTGACAATGCAGGTGATGTTTTTATCCCTGTTTTCCTTTTCATTAGAAAGTTTTTCTTGCTTTAAAATTCCAGCTTTGAGTCGACTACATAACTTACCATGGTCTATGTTTAGTTCTTATCCATTCTTTCAATATTCTTGTGGGTTTCCGCCTCCCTTCAGTTTGATGTGTCGAAGCCATTTTCTTTTGTAAATTCAACCGTGTGGAAAATTTTTTCTTTACTCCTGTAAAACTGTTGCAGTCAGACAGATTTTTCAATGCTTTGAAAGGGCACGGCGTAGTTTCTCGTCTTGTCATTCTTCCCTTTGAGAGCCACGGCTATGCTGCGCGTGAAAGCATAATGCATGTCCTCTGGGAGACCGATAGGTGGCTGCAGAAGTACTGCGTGCCAAACACTAAAAATGAAGATACTGATGCTGACACGAGCAAAGGAATAGAAAACAAAGCTGTTACTGCAGCTGAAGGGGTCAGGGAGGTGGACGATCATCAACGGATGACTACACTGTATCACTCTCGACGATCATCCTTGTGGTAATTTTGTGTGTTAACATCATACACTGGGGATTTTCCAGTCACATGCTAATTGCTATTATTTAGTGCTTAGATTTGTGTTCCTGGATCACTGATATTGGTTTTTTCCCGATGAATTTGCAGAGTCGCAATAAATTTTGGGAATTGAAGATCCTAGGTCTATCTTCGGCGTCAGACTAACCACAAACCACCACATTGATAAGAAGCACATTCAGTGTGACGCTTTTTATCCAGTTGGATTCTTTTTCCTTAGACATTGAAGTTTGTGATTCTTGGTGGAAAGTCATACTTTTCAGTTGTGATTTTGTGCGTCTTAGACTAGACGCCCACATTCTTCTGTAGTTGATTGGCGGGGCGAAGCCGTTGAGGTGACCTCAAAAGGAATAGTAGTGAAGTTTCATTTCAAGTTTGCCGCAAACTGGAGTTATATGGACATCATTCTTTAGAATGCTCCATGGTGTATGAATGACTGAATAAGATCAGGAGGTTGTTAGCAAAGTAGGTTCTGCTTTGGTTGACCATGTCTTGTATTTTCTGCTTGTGCGAAAATCATCATTACAGAGAATAGGAGCTAATCTGTATGTATTTCCTGAATAAATTTTATATCTTAATAACAATACACCATTTATTCTTCAACATTATTTACAGCAAAGTTGAAATACGCTGTCTCTGGTTTCCAACTAATTCTCTGTTCCTTGATATATTCTGTTCCCGTTCCACAAAAGTAGTCCACATTTCTAATTCATAAATTATGCTTAAGGCAATATAATTCCTTTACCAAAAAAGTAGTATAATTCACAAATTTCAAGGTGAACATATTTTTCTAAGATGGAAAGAGTACTATTCTAATTCTGTCGAACCAAGAAAATGATGGACACAATTATTAAATTAATTTTTTCGAGTAAAAATAGAGAGTGAAATTATCCATTGAAATGAAATGTTGAAGTAAGATACTACAAATTAATCAATTTGATTTCTTAAAGGATGAAAACGATTATGTATATATGTTTTTTTATTATTATTTTGATTCACGTTACACATGTTACTGGAAATTTTGAAGTAGATTTATTTTTATTATTTTTCTGTATCACTACAAAAGAATAATCTAAAGCGATTGAAAGGAAACGACGAATCGTCTCATTATGTTATTATGTAACATCACCAAATTCTTTTCATTCCAAAATTCTATTCTTTGTTAGATTATTCTTTCCCTTAAGTTTTTTCCTGTTATATATTACCATTTATCGTGAAACTATGCGCTTGAAATTACGTTGAGGAGTTGTTTGTTTCACTCATTCACAGAGAATAGGAGCTAATCTATATGTATTTCCTAAATAAATTTTATATCTTAATAACAATACACCATTTATTCTTTAACATTATTTGAAGCAAAGTTGAAATACGCTGTCTCTGGTTTTCATCTATTCTCTGTTCCTTCATATATTCCATTCCCGTCTCACAAAAGTAGTCCGCATTTCTAATTTATAAATTATGCTTAAGGCAGTATAATTCCTTTACCAAAAAAGTAGTATAATTCACAAATTTCAAGGTGAACATATTTTTCTGAGATGGAAAGAGTACTATTCTAATTCTGTCGAACCAAGAAAATGATGGACACAATTATTAAATTAATTTTTTCGAGTAAAAATAGAGAGTGAAATTATCCATTGAAATGATGAAATTATCCGTTGAAGTAAGATACTACAAATTAATCAATTTGATTTCTTAAAGGATGAAAACGATTACGTATATATGTTTTTTTTTATTATTTTGATTCACGTTACACATGTTACTGAAAATTTTGAAGTAGATTTATTTTTGTTATTTTTGTGTATCACTACAAAAGAATAATCTAAAGCGATTGAAAGGAATCGACGAATCGTCTCGTTCTGTTATTATGTAACATCACCAAATTCTTTTCATTCCAAAATTCTATTCTTTTTTAAATTATTCTTTCCCTTAAGTTTTTCCCTATTATATATTATCATTTATCGAGAAACTATGCGCTTGAAATTACGTTGAGTTGTTTGTTTCACTCACTTTGGTGCTTGAAATTACAATCAAAGATGTTCGCCTCCTTAGCGATGTTCATTTCGGCTCTGGAATTGGGTGTCGGGAGATTAAGAAATCTGTCATGACCCCTTTTTTTAATTATATTATATTATTTCAACCTCAAAATATCCTTATGATAGAATTTAGAATTAAAATCTAAAATTTCTAAAATTTCTAATCTAGTCTACAAAGTGATTTTTTTTATTTCACTAGTTAGATGCTTATTTCCATTAAATTATTTTAAAACATAGAGTTTTGTATCCCTGTTTATTAACAAGCAAATATCTGTCTTTAGACTCAGCATTTTCTTTCTTCATTTTCTCCTTTCCTTTCTCCTTCCACGCCTTCATCAGTTTTGAGTCTTTTGACTCTGTAAGAGTTTAGACCATTTCTTTGTCAGGTAAAGGTGCAAAAATTAATACTCCTTCTGTCCCAAAATGATTGTTCAGTTTGAGATTTCACTTTTAGTATAATTTGAATTAGAAATGAAAACTCAAACTGGACAATAATTAAGGGACGGAGGTAGTATAAAAATATAGTGGCAAACCTTGAAGATAATTAGCTAATTGGTGGCCGGCTTTTATGATTTTTACTTTCTTGACTTGGAAAGTGACCAATAACTTATAGCCTTCTAGTCTTCGCCTGGAGAAAACAGATTACGTGGATCTTGCGCATCTCGTTTAAAAAAATGTATTTACACAATTATCGGAATAAATTCAATTTTAAAAATTAAATCTATAAATTGAATAATTTGATCTTTTAAATTAAAAAATTAATATGAAAATTGATTAAAGAGTATTATATTTTCTCTGTCCTAAAATTATTGTCTATTTTGTATTTTTCATTTTAGTAAAATTTGTACTAAAAATGAAAATCCAAACTAAACAGTCATATATACAATGCATATCCTTTTGTGATGATTTAAATCTAATTTTAAGATTTTAGTTTTTAAAGTGTGTTATTCAAGTAAACAAACTGTAATTATTTTTTCTTTTTTTCTTTTTTAAAAATTAGATGACCCGAGTGAGAATCGAACTCTCGATCTCTTGATAATAACCATCTCCTATTCTAATCTCCTAACCACCATATCCAACCCTCCCACCCTAAATAAAGTGTAATTCTTTTGGAGGTAAGCAACAAAATATGGGGATGCAAAATTATATATTAGACTAGATTAGATAGATCCATTGAACTAAGAATATGATGACAGCAAAAGTGGCTCCTTTATAATATTTATTTTCTTTAAGCCTGAGGTGTTCTATATTGTGTCCTAATGTATTGGTCAGCATAATGTATGCAAGGGCATCTCCATTCATAAACCTACCCATTCCTATAAATTGTCCATGTTAACATTCCATTAACAACAATTAATATTAAATTTTATTACACCTCCCACAATAATATAAACCATTCTAGTTTATACTCAAGTTTATAGAAAAAGGACCCACCATAGACCCACTATAAAACTACATCAATTTTTATTACAAATTATAAATTTTAAAATAAAAAATAAATTTGGAATAATTAATTAATATTATATAATTTTTGGCCGTTGGAATTTTGTTTGACCACAAGAATATTAACAAAATAAAAAGAAAAAAAGTGGCCATTTTGTTGTCAAAATAAAAATAGCCGTTTGCATAGGAAAAAAAGAGACAAAAATGAGTCCAGAAGATGATGTGGTTTGTCTTCTTTTGTTTTTTCAGAAACATGGGCCGTCGGAATTGACTTTCTTCAGGTTTATGGGCATAAACTTTTTTTTCCCTCCAACTGCCCACAATGGCAGTTCACCCGTTTATGGAGAATGAGTGGGCCAGTTATCAGAATAGACTTCCCCATAAACGGGCCATTGGGGATGTTCTAATGGGATATTGGGATCCTTTGGAGTCCGTATCCAGTATATCCGGGAGCATGTATACCCCTCTTATTTTTTTGCACTATTATTCCTTATTGTATTTTTTTTATCAACTCTTCTTATATTTTACAAATTTAATCCCTGTCACTTTTTTCTCTCTCCTCTACAAAAACATTTCTAATCTTTAAATAAGCATATCTCATGATTCGTGAAGAATTTGTGAACGAATTATATATAAAATTTATAGTACTCGACGAGATCCATATTGAATATTTTTTCTCAACTTAAAAATGATTAAATTTCGGTGGGCAGAAATAAAGTGGATATCTATTTTAAGAAAATGGATAACCAATTTATTTTAGATCAATGTTGTTGTTTTACTTATATTTCTCGATCCGTGAATAATTAAAAAACGAATTACATATGAAATTTATAATAATTGACGAGATCTATCCGATATAATCAATGTTGAATTTTTTCTTGAATTTTAAATGCAGTTAAATTTTACAGGCAGAAATAAAAAAAAATATTTTTTTCCTGAAAAATTGTTATCCGTTGTGTTCATACTGATTATCCAACCAGTTTGAATTGATTATCCATTTTGTTTGTACTGGTTATTCAATCATATTTTTGACATTCACTCCTCTTTAAAAAAAGAGAGAAAAAATAAATAAAGTATTTGGATAAATATTACAAACCACTTGGATAACCATTGAAAATAATTGGATAATCAGTACAAAAAATTAGACAGACGATCATTTTTATAAAAGAGCAAGGAAAAAAAAGTTGGATAACCATCACCAAGAAATTGGATAATCAGTATGAACACATTGGATATATATTTTTTCAAAAGAAAAAAAAGAAAAGAAATTCTGTTTGGAAAATCAGCAAAAATGATTGGATACGCAATACAAAACGGTTGTATAGTCAGTACAAAAAATTATACAAGGAATTCAGCAAAGAGTAGAGAAAAAAAATGGTCGGATAATCTATACCGAGCAGTTGGATAATCAATATGAACGCATTGGACAACCATTTTTTTTCAAAAAAAAAAGAAGAAAAACTAGGTTAGATAAGCAGTACTAATTAATTAGATA